GATAGGATTGGGTCATTAGGAGTAATATTTGATTTTATTTCCTTTTTTTGTTTTTTTTCCTTTTATAGAAGGTTATGGTACGTGTATATATTCTGACCATATTACTGAATAAGATTCATTCGGTTCCTTCCTCTGGCTTGTCTTCGACCACAATGTGTGTGTACGTTTATGAATGTATCTATCAATCAATGACTTGTTTTTTAATTTTTTGCCCTAATTAACCAGTTGTAGGCTGCCGGTTCTACCTAGTGGGACAGTTAGAAGGTCGTCCTTAATAAGCAACCTGAAACGTGGATTAATTGACTAGAGTGGTTGGATTTTTTTTTATTTTTACCTTTCCATTTGTTTTTCCTGTCGTTTAACTCTTTTGGGGAGTCTCTATGATGTTGAGGGCTTTTTAACTTATGCTTTTTCAGGTGGCAGCAGCAGAGATGATGAATTAGAATGTAACTTGAGCTCCAAGCTGTTGCATGTAGCTTGGCATCCAAAATCCGATTTAGTGGCCTGTGCTTCTCAAAGCAGCTTGATATTGTATAATGCTTAGTTCGCAGGGTCTAGATTTCAAGGGATTTCTGGGATTGATTCAATTTGAAATTCAGGAAATCCCTGAACATGATGTTGTGTGTGTGTCAAAAGTCTCACATTACCTAAATAAAAAGCTCTTCTAGTGTATAAATACTAAGGAATGAAGTAAGTTAGTAAAATAGGTTTGGAGAAAAGTAAATTTGCTTATATGAGACAGATTCATTCAGGGCAATCATAATTAAAATTAGTTGATTCACCCCCTTGTGCCCAAGTTTAAGAGGTATTAGGTTTTTTTTATCAGATTATTTTTACAAAATAATTAAATAAATAATCATTTTTAGTTTACCCGAGAAATCTCAAATTTTGCTATTTAAATTTAAATTTGAAGCCTTGACAGTTTTTTTGGACATTAAACTACTTCTAAAAACCTATTTTGTGAGTTAATACCTTAAACGCACTTGTTTGCCAATGGCTCTAGATTCTTTCCGGGCATGACTCAAGCATTTGTTTACATCCATACCACTAGTACCACCAACACATGATCTACTCAATTTTGGAATCAAATGTAAAAAGGACTTTTTTTTAAGGTTAAATGGGATTTTTTTTTTACTGTAGAGGATTTATTATATTCTGGTTGATCATTGAATGATTATGAGAGTTTGAGTTTTTGACCAAATTATAAGAGCTAAGGTTATCAATTTCTAAGAAAATAGAGAAAGACAGTGTTGGAATTAAGAGTGAACAAGGAAATTAATCCATGGGCAAAGATTGATATGAAGGCCAAAATCCGGAGGATTACTCAACCAAAAATTGTAATTCTTACGTGATCGACGATTTTGTAGGCTTCCCAATTTGTGTGTGTGTAATGCGTCGATTTAATTGAAATATATTTGTTCCCCTCAATTTGACTTTTAAATGAGCAGTGTTTTTAAATAAAAAGCTTACTGAGCGATCGAGAAGTTATATCGAACAGGCCTTTGTTTTTATGCATAGCAAAATAGATGTATCACGCACTCAATATTCTAAATATTTTTTCTATTCTTTATATGTACGCATGTTGAGGACATAAATTACGTGAATATCTCATTCATTTTTATTGTAATCGCCATACATAAACCAAGAAAGCTTATGCGGTACTTGTTTAACATTCTCCTATTTTGATCCAATTTGAAGAGCACCCATTATGAAAGAATACAATTTGGAGGCAGAAGAGAGATGGTCAGATGGGTGATATCGAGGGAAGCGAAAACAGCCCAAAAGCATCGAATTACGTACATGCAGCTTCCTTCTATAAATAGTAAATAATGTAAATATACAAATCGAGGAAAACTAAATGAGTTAAAAAAAAAAAAAAGAAAAACGAAACGAGATGCATAATAAGGATCCACTTGGCCAAGTTGCAGACTTGTTTAACGTGTAGGGCAGCAAATCCAGCAAGGCATGGTCTGCCCGTTGCCCGAAGGAAGCCCTAGGAAGCAGGCGGTGTCGTCTTTATAAACAGCCCTCGTTCTTCCCTTGTCTATCGTCTCTTGTTCCGCTCTCCATGTCTCTCCCTCGTCTCTCCTGCTTTCCACTTTTGGTTATCTTTCTTATTTGATATTTTAGTTTTATTGTTCCTTTTCAGTTCGTTTTAGTCTTTGATTCAGGATATGGGTGCAAAAAACTTCCATCCGCGTGCGACATGTGGTGGGCATGGCGGCCATATTTTGCACAGATCGACCACTGTGAGTCTTGAAGCACAATATTTGTGTGTGTTTTAAGCTGCTTGTTCCTTATTCTTGGAAAGACCAAGAGGTTCGTGTTCATTATCACGAGCCTCTTTGGTTGTGGCAAGCATACACGATACACTCCTTTTTTTTTTTTAATCGTCGTCTCATTATTTTCTTAACCTTCTTACTTCTTAGGCTTGACCACCGACTTTTTGTTTCTCGGGGGTTTTTGATTTCCCTTCAACGAGCTTTCATGCTTTTGAAGAAAACTCGGTTTCTACCATGTAGGTAGACGTTGAGTGGTAAATTACCAAAAAGGGTCGCGTCCTTTACAGACCCAGAATAAGAAAGAGGCTGACGTGGATAAGATAAGACTAGGGCTCCGTAACCATTGAAAATTGAAAATGACCCTCAAAGTGAACAAGTATATTCCAATATGCTATTGCCATATTGATTCCTTAAAAATCTACCAATTTTTGCATACCCTAGTATTTCAATCATTTTAGACCCCTCTATCAGCTTGGGGTTCGTAATGCATTGAAAATGGCTGATCTATTTTGTTACATTTGTAAAAAGTCTCTAACAACCCTTGAAAGGAACTTGCTTTGTCCAAAAACAAAAAAGACGCGTTTGCTTGGCATGACTCTAGCTAATCAAGCCGAGAATGAAAAGTTTACAAGGATTCGGCACCACATAAATGAATAAATAAACAAATAAGGGTTAAAAGGATGTGTCCTCAGAAGATGGCATGAGAAACAAGATCCCTTGGGGCCGATACGTGACAACTTCAGGCCACGACAGGTTATGAATATGCATGAAAGTGATCCAGATGTCTCTCCAGGATATTTCGGGTGGATTTTGTTGACACCTTCACACAATAGAATGGGATAAAAAATGGGCACAGTAAAAAAATAATTTTATTCCTGTAAAATATATTTTGCTCCTTCAAGATTAAATAGTAATAACATGAATATATAATAGATGTTATATAGTCTTGTATCATAAAAAATAAGAAATATATTTTTCATAATGAAACCAAAAGGAGCTCTAGTCTAAACGGCACGTCGATGCATTGAGAAATGTTTTTAATTAAGTTAAATTAATAATATTAAAGTGTTTATTAAAGAGATACGCGTAATCATATATCCATCGATATAACATCCGGAAAAAAACATGGAGTTATATATATATATATATATATATATATTGCAAATATGGAGATGTATTATTACAAGCCTGATCATGTTGAACTCTCAATAAATATACAAATCCACACCATGTTATTACGAGTTCTGTTCTACTCGTTTCCACCCCAGACCAACCAACGCTGTCTAATGTTACCCAAAAAAATACGCAATCTTTTTCTTGTTGTTTTTCTTGGAACGCTGTCCAATCTGAACTTTCTATATAAAATTTAAAATTAAGGATTTTTAATAATAAATTCAAAGCATCTTTATAATATGGAGAAGGAGAAGGATATGTCTATAAAAACAAATGAATGATAACTTTGAAACACATTAGTGTAACCTATTTTATAGCTCTTAACTAATTTGAATCTCTTATATTTATGCCTTTATGCACTTGGAGTAAGAGAATAATGTGTTGTATGTGTGAATTAAAGCCATACGGACCTGTGCTTAAATAGAGATTTCGATTTTGAAAACTTTTCACTGTAAATTTTATAAATTTTAGATTCTTAAATATTCTTTCAAATATATGTGTACTAACTTACTCATTATTTGATTTTTTTTTTTTTGTAACTAGCGTACCTCTTTGATTTTTGGTTCATCCAATGGCAAAACCTCAAGTTTGTGTACAATTCTGAATTATAAATAAAAAAATGATTTAAAGAAGTTTTGTGAAAAGAGTAGTAAATAAGTTAAATCAGTTCCATAAAAGAGTGCATCATGATGACACACAAGAGTTCAAAGTATAAATCATATAACTGCATGTGACCATATGCACATCTATTTATGGAGCATTTTAGTCCAAATAAGTCTATTATTGTCGTTAGACTTTTTCCTCCCCTTGATTTAAGCCTTTTCTAATTTGTTTGTCGCCTCACGTTTATTTTATATTTTTCAAAAATCATATCCTCATTATGGCTTAAATATGATCAAATCCTTTAAATTCAACATCTTTGACCTTCCGTTCCTCAAACCCTAGGACTCAAAAGTTATCACCAACTAAAATGTTTTAATCAAACTATACTATATAATGAGAAAAATATAATTTTTAATTCTTAAATTTTTTCTATTATTAATTTGATCCTTAAACTATGATATGATGTAACTCAATTTTGTAGTTTATTGAGTTAGTGAATTACAAGGATTAGATTAAACCTAGTCAAAAAAATTATAAGAATTAAATTGTTTAAAATTGAAAATTATAAAATTGACTTGTTTCTAATCAAAATTTAAATATTAATTAAATTAATAATTGAAAATAAATTAAGGAATCAAAATTTAAATTTTCTGTGATATTATTGAAATTAATATTCACTATTTAAGATTTTATAAAAATAAGATATTTTTATATTGATTATAATAATAACTTATTTAATTATTTTTAGATTTTATGATGTATTCGTGAATCATTATTTATAAAAAATAATGTATTTCTTAATAATGTATTTCTTAATTATTTTAAAACTTTAAGACATTCTCTTTTTTATTTAAAATATTTTATTAAGATAATAAGAAATTATTTTTTTAAAAATTTTATTATTTTTAAAATTTTAAATAAATATCATGAAATTTCAAAAAATAATTTTTTGATAAAGTAAATGAATTTTTTATTTAAAAAAGAAACTAGAACAATAGCAGTTTGAATCACTGCTTCGATACATCCAATTGAGATCTTGCGAGCTGCAAATCAAGAAGCCAAAAAACTAGTGTAGTCTAAAACAACAAAGAACATCCTTTTTAATGAAAACAAGGCTATACGAGGTGGAGAGACAGAGTTGGAAAAAGATGACAAGCGAACAAATCGGAAGTCTACTCAAACCAAGGAATTTCCTACTGCTTCTGCATTCATTTTAAGATTGAAAACACAAGCCGTTGATTCTGAACTCTGCTTATCCGGTGATGGAATAAACCCAAAAATGCTCATATTCCAATACTCTCCGTTTCTCTTTTTCTTATCCCTACAGATCCATCTAGCCTCCTCTCTCTTTTGTTCATCCATGCCTCCATCTGCGCTTGAAATCGCAACTTTCCTCCAGTTACACCAAATTCTTACCATAATATACAGCAACACTAAGCATATCAAAGTAGAAGTGAAGACAATGGCCACTATGATTGCAGCCACTGCTTTGTTAGACAGCACCACTTGATTTTGCCCTTTAGATCCTGAGCACGATACCAATGGTGGGCCACACAAGTGGTCATTGTTCATGAAGGAGCTTAGTGGGAACTCTGAGAATGTTGAAGGAATCTGGCCTTGGAGATGGTTATACGAGATATTCAGCACGTGCAGGCTTGTTAGTTTTCCAAGGGAAGGAGGAACTTGTCCATGAAGATTATTGAAAGAAAGATTGAGTCTCTCTAGCTTCACGAGGCTTCCAAGTGATGATGGGATTTTCCCGGATAAGAGGTTTTTGCTCATGTCTAATGTCACTTGGAGTTCTGTGAGTCCTCCTAGCTCAGCTGGTATGTCACCTATGAAGAGGTTGTCTGAGAGCCTGAGCTCATATAGCTTCTTGCATTGCTGAATAGATGAAGGAATGAGACCAGAGAAATGATTGCTTTGCAAGTTAAGGACATTGAGGGAAGTAAGATTTCCAATCTCTTGTGGGATTTCACCAGAGAGATTGTTGTGATGGAGAGAAAGCTTCAGCAATTTTGAACAGTTTCCAAGCTCAGAAGGTACGGTTCCATGGAAGTCATTGAATGAGAGATCTAGCTCACCAAGTTCTTGTAAACTTCCTAGCCAAGAAGGCATTTTCCCTTTCAATCTGTTATTATTAAGCAAAAAGTGTTGGATCTTTCTGCAGTATGAGAGTTGAGGTGCCACCTCTCCTGTCAAATTGTTAAAAGACAAATCAAGAAAGTTGAGCTCATTGAGCTGACCAAATTCAGGTGGAATGCTTCCTGTAAGTTGGTTATGTGCAAGTCTAAGGCGGCTGAGATTTCTTGACATGGCTAAGTTTGAAGGGATGGGACCCGAGAAGCTATTGTTAGTCAAGTCCAAAGCATTCAGAGAATTTGAACCTGTAAGAGGAAGGATAGTTCCACTGAACTTATTGTGAGAAAAATTTATGATTTTGAGGTTTTTGAGAAGAAAGAGCGACTCTGGAAGTGGACCTTCAAAAGAGTTATTGTAAAGGGTAATGGTTCTAAGTTCTGAAAGGTAACTAAATGTGGGTGGTATGGAACCAGACAATTTATTATCCGCTAATGCCAATAACTGAAGACTTTTGCAGTACCCCATACTTGGAGGTATAGGACCCCACAAATCATTCTGCCTCAGATGAAGCAGAACCAAGTCCTTGAGCTTACCTATGGTCTCTGGAATGGGCCCAGAAAAATAGTTGCCAAAGAAGTCAATTTCCCTTAAGCTTGTGCAGTTTGTTAGCTCTCTAGGTATTGGACCAGACATCTGGTTGTCATAAAGGTATATGATTTTCAACCTCTGAAGCCTTCCAAACTCCACCGGGATTTTTCCTGTAAACATGTTGTGAAACAAGAAGAGGCCTTCCATGGTACTAATGTTTCCAATCTCCGAAGGTAGAGATCCTGTGAAGCTGTTGTTGTTGAGAGCAAGATCTGTGAGATTCTGCAGTTTGTCCAAGGTTGTTGGAAGCTCCCCTTCAAAGTTGTTATCAGAAAGGTCCAATTGTTGAAGTGAGGAGCAATTGAGTAACTCCAAGGGGAACTTACCAGAAAGTTTATTCCGAGCCAAGAAAACTTGCTCTAGTTTGGAACCACTGAAGCAGAAGTTGGCTGGAATATAACCTGTCAAAAAATTATCGGACAGAACCAGAGTTTGGAGACTCTTTAGTTCGGTATTAAAGAGTTTTATTGGTCCAGAAAGGTTGTTTTTGGACAAGTCTAGCTTCTGAAGCTGAGTTAAACTGTTAAACTCTGAAGGAACTTCCCCACTTAGTCTGTTTCCAAGCAAATTCAAGTATTTTAACTTGGAGAGATGGCTCAAGCTTGAGGGAATTGACCCAGAGAGACTATTATTGGCCAGATTCAGAATTTCCAATGATACAAGAGACCCCAAAGAAGAAGGTATGTCTCCTTCAAGCAAGTTGTTTGATGCTGCAAAATTTTGTAGCTTTTCACAGCCTTCAATCTGTTTGGGTATGGGTCCCCCTAGACTGTTCACCTCTAAATCGAGAGAAACTAGATTCTTCAAGTTTCCGATCTCGGTTGGCATGCTTCCATTAAAATAGCAGAAAGATAAACCCAACTCTTTCAACTCTTTCAAGTTACCTATACTTGGTGTGATTTCACCTGTCAAGAAGTTGTCTCCTATTCTAAGAACCTCCAGCTTCTTCAAATTACCTATCTCTGCAGGAATGATGCCGGATAGATAATTTGAGAATAGTCGAATTATTCTTAGATTCTGTAGCGCACCGATCTCAGAAGGAATAGAGCCCGTGAGGGAATTTGAGGTCAAATCAAGCGTTTGAAGAGAAGCGAGGTGGGTGAGCTCAATTGGCATGGAACCTGATATCCCTGAACCGGACAAGTTCAGGCCTACGACATGAGACTGATCAAGTGAACATGTTACTCCATACCAGCTACAGATAGGAATCAGTGGAGACCAATCTTTTAGAGCTCCTGAGGGGTCAACAAGTTGTGATTTCATTTTAAGAAGCCAGTAGGAATCTGAGACATTATCGCCAAGAACTGAGACGAAAGAAGCATTCAGCATGGCCAGAAACAGAAAGAAATGGCATATCCCAAGGCTACCACCCATTGTAGAATTTTTGACCAACATATGCTTCATGATGAAGAACCAGGAATGGTGATACATTGAGAGGATAATTCCATGCAGAAGGAAGAGGGAAGAGAAGATTATGAATGGAAGGGAAAGCAGTAACAGAACAAGGAATAGAAGATGAATGAAGGAAAATAAAATAGTGGAACGATGCAGAGACAAGTCCTATGAGGATGTAAGACCCCACGTTATATATACACCTTGTGAAGCAGCTAGTTCTGCTCTCCATGAAAAGAAAGTAGTTAACACTCGTGCAAAAATACATATGCATATCGTCAAGGGATATTTTATTTTTTTAAAAAAATACATCATAAAAAAGTTTTATCAGCCACAGTTTATTGAGATTGAATTTGAAGAGTCAGAGCAACAAAAGTACCCTTTGATTATTAAACACATAAAATAGTTTTCATGTAATTTTTAATATATATTTGCTCATTGAAGAGGTTCTATCCAACCTTTTTTTAACTTTTTGCGGCTTTTTCAGTCTATTTTAGTAACTTGTGGAGAAGAAATAATTGGATGGTGGTGGTTGAAAGAATTATAAAACAAGAAGCAGGTAAAGATGGAAGGTGTGACGAGTGGGACACTCCGTATTGGTGGTTGTTGATCGCAAAAAAAAATTTTCATACAAGATGCAATCAATTAATGGACAAGTTCATCGTATGTTAAAAAGAAGTATTGTTGGAAGTCACTGGATATCACAAGAGTTTTGGTCAATTCAACTTCAAAATTGTCAAATAAATAGGTACAATCCCATAAATGCCTTGCGAATATTAGGATTTAAGATCTCCAAGCAACACAAACGTGCGTACAACCATTAAGCCATTGCTGTCTGCTTGGCGTGCTAAGATGCTGAGTTATCCCAAGAAAAACCAAACTCAACGTCCTGAGATTTCAGGCTTGCATTATGCTATCTTAGAAACTGAATGAAAATTCATCATGATGGGTTGGAAATTAAACGAGCATATTTCACACCACACCTCAAAATTTCTTTATTTCTTCCGACAGTTAAATCATTCCTTTTTTTATGGCCAACAGCATTTTAAACCACAATCAAGCACTTCAAAATTTTGTCATATTACAATATCATTGTAAATACATGTAAAGTCTCATGATAGTGCTTGACACAAACATCAGAATATTTCTTCTCCTCAGATTTATATTCCAATCAAGTATTTGTTTCCTGTAGTGATTAAGCTGAGCAGAGAGTCAAGGCATCGGCTTTTTCTCAACCTAAACAACCTAACTTCATATTAAAAATAAGAAGGCAAAGCATCAGAAAGAAAACAACCACACTAATTAACTTGGGTCAATCCTCATGCATATAGAAAAGCTCCAGCAAGCATGTTACTAGTCCTTAATAGAGCCAAAAGCATGTGAGGTTTGGTGTATTACATTCAAACCAAGTTGCAACAGTGTGATTAGGTCCAATGAAATTGAGGAAGGTAGGAGAGAATAATTTGGATTCATTTCGGTGAATAGTTAAGATTCCGCATCTAAAAAGAGCTTAAACACATGAAGACAAAAGCATCTCATCTCATCTTTAATATTCAGAAGTCACCGGTAGCTTTCAGTGATGGCTCTGTGGTGTAACCCTCCACTCTGGTTTGCTTCATTACTTACTCAGGATTTAAGCACAAGCAATGAATATGTGTGAACGTCCTGCAAGGCAAATCAGTTCAAAAACATATCATTGCATCTGCCATGTCCCTGTATTTTCATATGTACTCATTTTTATAAATACAAAAAAATTGTTAAAAATTGAGATAAATAATTTTTTTAAAAATATGCATGCGTCTCATTGTCAGCCTTAGTACATATCAACGTGGACCACTAGTTACCATATACAAGTCCTTATATATATATATATATATATATATTTACACATTTCCTTTTTTATGCTTACTCTCAAGTGCTCACCATGCCTTTTTTGTTGAGGTGTTATCGAAAATGCTTTTATTCACGCCTCTGTGATCCATACCACTATATAAGTATGTGGTCACTTGCAAGGTTTTGGTTTCTGCGTCAACATGAAAGAAAAAACTCATCGTCATCATTGTCTTTAAAGATTAAAGCACTTCATCAAATTGCATCGTCCACTACCTTCCCACCTTGTTTACACTTTCACTCGTTATCTAACACACAAGCCCAAATTTGAATCCTCATGATATATCAGAATTTGTAGAGTATCTTAGAATGAGGGAAGGGGAGAGAGAGAGTGTGTAAATCTTACACGTATACTATCAATTTTCTTATTTAGTACTATCAGTCTAAATTCAAGTATTAATAAGGGTAGCTCGTTGATTTATTTTTTTATTCATAATATTGAAACTCATAACCTTACTTAAAGGGTATAAAGTCTCTTCCATTCCATAGAATCATTATTGGTAGTTTGGTACAGGGAGAAGTTTTTTATTCAAGCAAATTGAGATATATTTTAATAATGTATATGGCTAACATATCTCCATAAGATGGCTTCCTGCAAAATTAATAACAAAATTTTTTTTTATTACCACTGCGCAACACCTAGTATCCTGGATCTACTTCATATTGAGTTGAAAGAACTTAACGGGACTCAAACTAATTCAAACCGAGTCAGGTAGGACTCTTTTTTTTTGAACGAAAAGGTAGGACTCTTTTATGGGACAAGCTCTACCAGAGTTTTAGCACCGCTGCATTTTCAAGGCTTAAACTTGAGATGACCAGTTAAATTAGAACAATTTTATATTAGTGTATTCAAATGTTCTGCGGTATAAAAAACATTCTTTTTGTGCAACATTCTTTTCATTCCCACCTAATACGATATAAATTAATTTTCTCACGAATTAAAGGAATAGTGTGAGCAAGGAAGATGAGCAACCCGGTAATACAAAAGTGCAAAGCAAGAGATAGGGCCAAGGGAGAAGGTAAACCAAGGACCATTGAAATAAAACCATCTGAATACAACAAAAACGGCGTTTCTTATGATAGAAGAAATGAAGGAAGATGGTCCACAAAAAATATCACCGGAAATGGAACTATAGAATTTAAAAGTGGAGTTGTAGTGGTTCATGTTGGCTGCATTTATATATGATCCTGTATTACTACATTTAGTTAATTAGTTAATAATTTCCATTACACTATAAATCATTATTTAGATACACATCATCAACAATTATAAGACCAGTTATATTATATAGTGGTGAATGTTGATCTTTAACAAGATAGCAAGAGCATGAAATTGAAATAGTAGATATGAGAATGTTGAAATAAATATGCATGGCATAAAAATAAAATATGAAATAAGAATATATAAGAAAATGTGGGCATAGCACCTCTTGACAGGAGAATGTTAAAAAATCATTTGAGATAATTTGTACATATAAAAAGAAAACTGTAAGAGGTATCAATAAAGAAAATGAAATGGATAATTTTTAGTCCTATTCAAAGATATAAAGAAAGGCCAAAAAAAAACATTTATAATAGTTGTTGATGGAGAACTCTTATAAATAATATTCTTAAAAGTTTGGTAAATAATAAAATATAATGATATTACATAATTTATATAACCGACATTATCTAATAGGATAAAGTTTGTTATTATTGTAGATGTCATCAAAGACATAGTAGATTGAAAGGCAAAATAATGAATCTCCGTTTTGGTCAATGAATCATTTGGAATTTATTGGCTGCTTGACTTTTTCATTATCATGCGACTTCTCTGCTTAATTTCAATTAGTATGACCTGGCCCATTTTTTAGATTAATCTTGACTTGGGTTATGCGTTGAGGGAGTATTATATTGGAGTTTAGGTAGTACACTAGTTGTTGAAGCCTTTTTTTTAACCATATTATAGTAGCAACGTAACAGGGACCAGAATTCCATAAAGGAAACTGAAAAGCCTAACAGAATGAGGTGTAATGGATTGGACGAAGATCAGAAAGAAAAATGGACTAAATCAGTCAGCTAAAATAGTATTTTTTTAATAGACAATTATTCAAACAATGAACCAAAAACCTAACCTTTCGGATCAGATCAGAGTAAGGTTTCATGGACTAGGACGATTACCTATGTGAGGTTAGCATCTTCTTTTGTTGGCATGCACTTGTTGTTTGGTTTTAGGGATCAAGTCTTAAAGAAATAAGAACCCTTTCCCAAGAAAAAGCTTTTTTTACCAATATATTATAATTACTAAAAGAAATTACCTAAATGCTACAACGTAAAAAGTATTTATTGACATACTATATTAAAAATTATTCAAAGCAAAAGCAAGTTTAAAATTATGAACAACTCGTTCGAGTCAAGAATAATTTTAAAGTTAAAAATTATTTTTTTATTTAATAAAAAGTGAAATTGTTCACTTGGTGAGTGATTTCAATTTCATTGATTTAGCATTTTGTTCAAGAATTTTTGCTTTCTCTCATGTGAATGATTTGTCAAATCCCTTATAGCTTTTTCTTTTCCAATATGACATTTTATTTTATTCATATGCATGTGCACATGAAACTTTGAATTTGCTATATAAGGGATTCAAGACATAATACATTATTGCCTATTTCATTTTCTATGATCTCTCATTTCTCTCATATTCAAACTCCAAAATTCTTTCTTTTTATTCTAATTTTCTACTTCAGTTGGTAGTGTTAGTATTGTGATCAAAGTTTGAAATACATATTCTTTATTTTTATTTGCTTAAAGCGTGACTTTCCTGATTAAAGTATGTTTTTTTACTATATAATTATAAATGTTTTGTATAATAAGTTTTTTTTTAATTGTAGATGTGGACATGTAATTAATTTTTTTATAGAGTAATCAAGGATAGAGTCACCATAAATGTAAAGTGGGATACAATCTTCCATATTTTTATTTATTTGTAATTTTTATACTAATTAATTGTTTATGTAAGTTTATTACTTCAAAAATCTTAGAGAAAAAATTACATATAACATTAATCATAACAAATATATCTATAAATTATATATGAAATTATATATTTATAATATTAATCATAACAAATATAAATAATATAGGAAAAACTTATCAAATAAATAATATAGAAAAAATATATATTTGTCATATTAAAAAACTTAATTTATACAAATTCTTAATTTTTTATAATAATTGATATGTGAAAAAATATGCATGTTACCAACATGGAAGATCCTTATATGTTTTTGGCCTAGGGAAAGGGGTTAGACAACAAACACACACATATATTATATAGATTATATAGAAGGGAAGCTATTAGGGTTGTGAATTGTATAAAAAAAATCATGAGTTAAAGAAAACCTAAAGGGTCCTAAAAGCATTGAGTGGCAAAACTTGGCCTCCTTTAAGGACAATGTGGTTCTATCACTGAGAAAAATTATAGCTAATTTATTAATAAAAAGATTAAATACACGTAAAAAAGATTATTATATGTAAGTAATACTTCATTCGATCTTAAATATTAAAGTTAGATAACTAATTTATAAATATTTAGGAAACTAGTTAAGTTAATTTATTTTTACAATTTAAATTTATTGGGGTGTTAATTATATAAGGTAATATTTAGGAAGTAGAATGGATTATAGAAAAGAGTTCGTGTGTATATTTGCAAATGGACAGATTTTACATGGCCCAACTAGTGCAACATTTGAGTCGGATAATATGAAAGTAATGAAAGTTGACCTAAATATTGTCTTGGATAGACTAAAGTAATTTATTAGACAAAAGCTATGGTTTCCTCCCAATACATTGGTGACAAATCTAATATATAGATATCCTACTTGCATAAATCCACCATACTACCAAGCATACAATTTAGAGGATGATTCAAATATAGAACAAATGTGGCAAGTAAGCCATTGATTCTTAACTAAATTGAGAGGAGAGGAGTTGTATACGAACATATGTGAGTTAGAAGTTGATGGCCATGTTGAATCACAACCAATGTATAATTATATTAGAAACACTCTCCCATCGAGTAACAATCAAGTGAACATTGTAGAACAAGTATTCATGTTTAGTGATCTTGTAGAAAATTTCTACCCATTTGAGCCTCCCCTAAATAATGGCAATAATTGGCCATCGTGTTCTCTTCCTCCAATGGAAGACATCCATCTGAGGATGAGGATGAATGTGATTCTTATTTAAATATTAGTAATGTGAATGATAATGATGCTAATGACTATAATGATTGCAATGAGCATAATGAGATTACAACTGCTTTCTTGCTGCATGTTAATTTTGAGTCAATTATGACTCTTAAGTTCAATGAAGTAGAAAATTTTACCTTTCAGTGATAATGAAAAGTTATATATTAGAAAGATATTTAGTAATGTTCGTGTTCTAAGACGTACAATCAAGCTATGTTATGTTCCAGTTTATCACACATTTAATGTTCATTATACACCTAACAAGTATGAAGAATATCAATGCATTAATTATAGAGAAAATTGCAATTGAAAACTAAGGGCTTACAAGAAGGAGAATAGAAACTTTTGGCAAATTACAAAATATGAGGGGGCCCACACATGCTTGGCCGCATTGTTAACTCAAGACCATCCAAAGTTGGCTAATGTTATATCATCTTGTATCGTGGATGGTATCTGACAAGCTAAATGTGAAAGTCTCTCAAATTTTTGAGAGGATGCAATCCATGCTTGGATATACTATGTCATATAAAGAAGCATGGAAAACAAAATAATTAGCAATTGCTATTGTTTATAGGAATTGGGAGACCTTAGGCTTCTGGTTAGCTACAATTCAACACTTCAGGCTTGGTTCATGTATACAATTTTCAAATAAACAATGCTCTCAATTTAGTATAGTGGGTCAACCATTAGAAATGTTTCACCATATTTTTTAGGCATTCAAGCCATGCCTAGATGCATTTTCATACTTAAAGTACATTGTACAAGTTGATGGAACATTTTCGCACACTGCTTATAGCCATATCACAAGACGATGATCGAAATATTGTACTACTTGCATATGTTATTGTTGAAGGGGAGATAAGATCTACTTAGGAGTGGTTCTTATACCTTATATGCCATTGCATCGTAAAAGACAAAACAAAAATTTGCTTAATTTCAAATAAACATCAATAGCCACTTACTATTGTTAATGCTCTTCCGGCACTTAATGAGTTTAATAGAACATTTGAGTACATGCAATGGTATTAGAAATATATACAATGATAGATCCAATGTATTAATAGTGATATTGGGTATGTGGTTTTGCACCTTCTTCCATCTATACCATCTTTTTTCTCTAAAAAGTGTCATAATTTAATATCTTATTGTTTATTTTAAGCTGACATAGCAAAAGATTTAGACAAGCTAACGATCAATTCTCATTTAGAGTCCTCTCATTATATTGATTATCGAGGTAGGATTGCTTAAGACTAACGCAACATCATACTTGCAATGAGAGAACAACAGTTTAATAGGAACTCTCAGCTTGCTCCACTAAGGGTTAAGCTGCCTCGTCCACAAATTTCTTGAGATTGACTGAGCAAGTGACATGATGATCACTTATCTACCCAACCACCATTAGATGTAGGAGAACAAGAACCTCAAAATATTAGTCAATCTCATTAGATGCTAGCCTCATCATCATTATACCCCTTTTCACCTCTCTCCATCTCACTCAATTTGAGTCTCATTATATGCCACCCTTATCACCATCTCTTTTCAAGTCACACACTCATATTCAATTTGAATTGTTCGTGTCTTTACTTGATCTTGCACTATTTTTTGTTAAATACAAAACTTCTACTTTAGAACATGGTGGACAATCAAATAAAGCAAATGCCACCCCTTGATAGTCGATTTCTTTAGTTGAATAACCTTGGTTTGATTTAAATACGTCAATTACACAGATAAATGAAATACTTGAGTCTAAAAAAGAGAAAAACATATAACAACAATTATAACGTATGAGAGAGAGAACAAGATGTGATATCAAAAGTCAATATTTGTGAAGTAACTTAATTTTCACTTTTCATTCATATGATTTAATCATTCATTATTAATTATTAATAATTTTTAAATTAATACATCTTATAATAATTCTTTAATTATATTAGTAACAATTATTTACTTATTATTTTCATTCGAATCATTACTATATTATTAGACAAATCATTTGATGTGATAGGTACAAATGATGTTGAGAAATCATTCCTGTCAAGAATAAATTTTGGTGAACTCAAGACTATGTATTGAAGAAATCATTCTTGATTTAATTAATTTTTTAAATTGTTTAGCGTAAGAATGATTTGAGATGTAATATTTTGAGAAATAATTCCCAAATATTGCATTTTGGTATTTTCTTTCACTGTGTATAGAATCGTTATAAATAAAAAAAAAAAAACCAGCACAAACAAGTTGCCACACCAAATTTCTTCAATTTGGTCTATTTGCCTGTGGTAGAAACAGAATGCGTGTCAAAAGCATGGGCACTCAGTACTCACTTCAGGAACTAATTATATTATATACAGGATACTTGGAGTATTCTGGTGAAAATTTTCAAATAATTATTAACATGAAGACAAAAAATGTCGCTTAAAATAAAGAAACGAAAATAAATTCCTTAATATAACTCAAACAAAGGGATAATAACTGGGACATAATAACTGGGACCAGGATCACGCAAGTGAACGACATTAGACCTAAGAAGCACCTATCCGGGTATGAGTATCAAATACAATGAGTATCAAATACAATACATGAACACGATAATTTTTAAAAATTTTAGGATATGAGTACGAATATATAAATAATTAAAAATTAAATGTTAAATATTAAATATTTAGATATATACATATCTTTAATTTCATAATTTCATATTTAAAGTTAAAAAGTACAATTTCAACATGTCCATAAATAAACACTCAAGATCTAATATCATATCCGTGCTTCCCAGCCCAAGCAGTAGATTTAACAATCAATAAGAGCTTAAAAAATATTTTTAACAGCCTGGCAGTTGCAATACCCAGAACCAAAATCTAGCGTATCGAGGAGTGGGAACTTCAAGTCTTGAATATATGGGAACTAGGGACGCTAAATGTGACACAGCGCTGGAGAAGAAGATGAAGAAGAACTTACCGCAAACTTGGAGAGACAGGGCGACAGAATCACGGGCTGAACTGTTGAAGACACACAGCGCCTTGAGAAGAAGCACTGTGAGTCCAAAGTCAGTGACTGAAGCGATAGAGTTCAGACCTCAGGTGAGACAAAGCACCGTGAGTTGTGATTGAATATTGAAGAAGGACGATGCTCGAAGACGACAGAGAGTTAAAGCGAAGCTCACGCAAGAAAGGGGATACAATCGACTGAACTAGACGAAGCTTAATTCACCGATTTCTGAAAATGAGAATGAAAAAACAACAAGCCAAAATGCTAAGTTTCGAGCACTACCCGTGTTCGCCCGTCTCAGCCCGTGTCTGACTAAAACCGGAAAGCGGACGCAGCGTTTTCGCGTCCTGAACGCGTGTCCATGTCGGATACGTATCCGACACGGACACGCTGCGATTTTGCACGTATCCGTGCTTCCAAGCATTGGACCCTACACAGCCCTAATCTCTCTACAAGTTCATCCATCTATCTCTGCAAGAGAGGCCATGGATAATTTTAAATGTCATTACCATATCTCGTCGGAGAAGTTTTGAACTTGAAACATCTTTTTAACCAAAAAAAAAAAAAAACTCATCTCATGCTCTAATTTAATTCAACTAGAGTGCGAAAGAAACAATAATTAAAACACACAAAATTATCCCATTTAAAAAATTTAACTGAAAGCTCAAAAGAATTTATACTAATATCCTTGAAATATACAGAGGATGATGAGTAAAATCTGCACGCAGAAGAACTGGGCGTGCTTTGGCTAATGAGAATATCTTACATGAAAGTATGGACATCATTGCGTTGTTGCAGAAACAGGAGGTAGAAACCTCATGAGGTAACTTGAGAGAGACCAGATGCAAATCACACCAAGGAACTGTAAGACGTTTAAAAGGGTACCCAAAGAGCTATTTATAGCGAGGTTATGTGAGGTCATTTCAGCTCCTCTAACAGTAAATGACAGAGCTGTCACCAGTTGTGCTGCCCTATTTAGTTGGTGCAGTCTATAAACCTGTTGATAGCAAAATTACATTAGTTCTTTAATGCTGAGGTAGTCACACTAAAGAATATTTGAAATTTTAACACTTTATTGTACTTATTAAAAGAGCAATTTCTCCAAGCACCACTTCGGAATAGCAGTACTGGGAAGGCATCTGATGAGGTTTTTCTCGAAAAAATTAACTGACACACAGTGAATCATTATGAGAATTTATACTTTTAGGTGAAAGTCTACAAAAAGGGAGAGCGGACTTTTCTCCGTTTTCATTAAATCCAATTTCGAAAGTGGACAGAGTCCGGAGGAGTTTTCTGTTGCCCTTACCTGAAAGATAAAGGGTATAGCAGGCCATGAAGGGGACTTCCGATAACGAGCATATTGCTCAAATGCAAATTGTACGATTATACCAACCAGGTATGGAGCAAGAGTTGCAGAAGCCGCAGGGCCTGTCCATGGCCAGACCAAGCCCATAGTGACCATAGGAATTATAAGACTAAGCACTAGAGTAGCAACAGAAGAGATCCTTTGTCCCAGTTGAGGAGTAGGAGAATCACTATTGTTTGCAGCAACATCCAGTTGCACTGGCCTCCTTAAATGGTCCAGTAGAAGAAGAAATACAGCAACACCACAATAGAAAATTGCCTCTGTGAAGAATAATATGAGGAAATCTGGAGACAAAGAATGTAATTCAGGGTTCAGATAAGGAAGCAAAATTCAGAGCTAACGAGAGACAAAGATTTAAATCAAGTAATTGACCATTATACAAGTTCTCAGATAGGTCAAGTCACAAAAATTACTCTAACTACAAACTCTATCGTCTTGTCGCTCCATGTTGAGCCACCATCAAGATTATTAAAAGTTAAGAATTTTATCACCCATTATGCTCCCATCTTTTGTTCATTCATCCAATGATTGTTCCACCATTTTCTCAAAAAACAAATAATTCCAATCACCCAATCAAAATCACATCCAAGGTTTTGAATATCCAAAATGTTTTACATTATCCCTCACTAGTCACTAAATGCACCGAGCACAACCAAACTCTTCACCTCAATATTTTTATCAGGTAGTCCGTTTACCCTATTGATTCAGGGAGATGTCACTATGAACCACATATAGATGCAAGCTGGCACACCTCACATAAATAGTGAATCATACATATTGCAAAATAACCAGAAAATGACAAAACCCAAAGGAAAAGGCCTAGAGACACTTTCTTTCAGAGAATAATTACTCACCAGTCAACAAAGAGTCCTCAAAGATGACAGAAAGAATTCTACGTAAATAGAGTGAAGGAAAAATGAAGGAAGCAACAAGAACTGCAGGGCCCATAAACCATAGTATGCTGTTTTGACTCCTCTCTGCATTCAACGGAAGCATCTCACTATCTTTCCTATATGGACGATTATAAAATGAGATTACACCAGGCTTTCCTTCACCACTTGGTGAATGGAAAGAAGAATTGCTAGCAATTGAGATATCTTCAGAATCCATATCATGGTTTTCCGGCACTAGATCATCTGTTTTGAGCTCATTATGTTGTGATTGATCCTCAGAGACGACAAAAACAAGATACCGCTGCTTCTGGGTCCTTCCATTTATCTTCCTCATTCCATGTATTGACTGGTTTGAATTGTCTATGCAAAAAAAACAAAAAACAAAAAAAAAAAAAAAGAATGTGGAAGCAAAAGAATGTTAACAGAGGATAAGTCCAAAAGAAAATATATCAAATATATTTTAATTTCTTCAGATAATATCAAGAAACTAAGTGGGAACTTTAGATCAAACTGGCTACGTCAAAAGGATGAATTGAAAAGGGATTAAAACTGTATGAGATGCCCAATATTCAGCCAAGCTACCTCTAGTGTATGTTAACTGCTGCGCACTATTTTGCTGGCTGTTGAGCAACCTTTGCGATATCCTCAACTGAAAATTAAAGAAAGCTATGAAATATAAGTGAAAAGGATAAATTTTATGCCAAGGAGAGTAAACTGAAATAGCAAGCCACATAAATTGATTGGCGCATAAAACATCAAGAGTTCTCTCAACATCAGCTTAAACTAAAATTCATAGCTAAGTCATGGTTCTGTAGTATACTACACTGAAAATTCAACTCTACTTTTTGCATGCTTAGTACACTTTAGAAGTTCTAAAGAAATATTTATTTCGTGATAAAAGTTTGGATTGTCCATTGACAATGAGTATTACTAACTATCAAATTCTAGAAGCTGATGTGCATTTTGTTAACTTCAAAACTACCAAAGAAGTGAAGCAAACGGCAGGAAAAAAAAAATCTAGCTCCTCATTTGATGTACATCCACCGTAAGTTATTATAGAGATAGAATAGTGGGTATATCCTGTTAAAGTTCAGGTTCAGCAAGATGAAATTGATAAATTTATATTCAACAGTTCCTCTAAACAATATTTCAAAAAGCTTGGTTAAAGATAAAGCACAATGATGTCGTTCAATTCATGTAACCAACCTTACCTAGTGGGATAAGGCTTGTTGTTGTTGTTATCTTTACATTCAACAGTTCCTTCTTAGTTTTATTTTCCCCGATGGCACTCAAGTATAAGTTGTCATTATTTAAATAACGTTTATTGTGCTTTAGAGCCAGTGGTTTCTTCTCAGTTTTCTTTCTTTCCTCTTCCCAACAACATTATATAGATGGGATAATTGTTCAAATAACCTTGACCGGGGCCAAAACACTGGCAAAGATTTCAGCATCAATTGATTTGAGCATTTTCTTTCAAAATGCCAGAGGACTGGGAAAAAATAAAATTTTTTCTTTGTAGACTGTATTTTTTTGACTTGAACTCGGGTAAAATATTAAAAATTGTAATCACTTTCTTTTCTAAATGACATCTTGATTCATTTAATTATGATTATTAACTGCAATCATTCCCTTATTTATTGACGAAGCCAGATTCAGCTGCAATATAATAAGTGCAGTGCTAAAAGGAAAATTCAAATCAGGCCACTTCTATATCAATCAAAGATGCTCCAGAATATCACTGGCTATAAGCGTCTGCCAAAGTTGTAACACTAAAGTCCATCTGATGTATCATAAATTTACGCAATGACCATACCAACAGTTCTGGGTTTACTACTCATCCGGCTAAGGAACATGAAACTATGGCTCTTACTTTTTCCCATTTTAGAAAACAATTAACGCACATTCTGCATATACCACAGGTTGGCTATCAGGTTTTAAGCAGACGTTATCAAAGCAAGGCAAGAACTTCAGAGCAAAGGTATCAAAACAACATATTATAACTTGTAACAACTCTTGATGAAGAACAAACAGGTCGAACGAGAGAAATGACCAATAAAAAGTGACAAAATAAATAAACCTAACTTTGAGCAAGTACCATAAGGTCCCAAACATCAGTGTGAACAAAAGAAAAATGGACATTGTTGCCTCCGCTCTGGCTGCACCCCTCCTAGGAAAGCTATTTCCATGTGAGAAGTCTCATTAACCGAACGACAGCCAAAACAAAATTAGGTCACGCTACATTTTTCCTTTTATGCTTCATTACATATTTTCCTTAATTCGGAACAAATAAAAAGCAATAAGAGAAAAGGAATTTACCAAGAACAAGCCAATTGTAATGTAAGCAGACTCAGGCAAAAACCGTTAATTTTCCCAGGAAGGTAAAAGGATATGACTTCCAAGTAAGCAAACAAGAGTTTAAAGAACCTGGGCAGTTTTCCGGCGTTGGAAAGGAGAAGACAGAGAAGCTGCTAGACAGGAAAATGACGGGCACTTTGAAGCCATATCTGAAGCAAGAAAAGCATCAAAGACTAGCAGTGACTAAAATTTCTCAACCAATCCATATAAAAAGAATTCCCTCTCACATAAGCAAGTGATTTGATTGAGGAGCATCTATGAAATAGGCTAGTGTAAATTTCTTCACGGAGAAACGAAACAAGGGCTCAAGCTGTGGTGAAGGTTTGAGGAGGTATTTATTGAGAATATTTTACTGCTCATGCTCACATGGTCGTGTGCGTTTTTATGATATGTCGTGGGTCGCGCGTAGAGTGGAGACGAGGACTTCGCACTCTTCTATTCTACTTCGTCCATGGACCTCTCCTCTCGTCTCTCCCTATCCGCCTGGGCTAATTCTTATTTTCTCCGTCACCTACACTTTTTCGCATGCGGGTCAAACTGTCGGAAGCTATGAAAAAAAAATAATAATTAAATTTATATATTTTCTTTTAAATATAATTAATTAATTATATCTGCGCCAAAAAAATATTATATTAGTTATATCATTATATATCTTATTTTCTCCATCGTAAAAAAAAAATCAGCAGTTATACTCATTGAATTCAAACATATGAATTTAATAATTCTGTGGTTTATACTCGGGCAAAACCATAGCTTTGGGTTGGGGGTCAATTTTATGTGATTAATATGTTATTTGATTTTTTAAAAAAATATTTATTATTAATATATCTTTAAAATAATTTTAGGGATGATAAAATTTTAAATTTTTTAAATTTATTTTAATTATTGATTTAATTTTTAAAGTTCTAACTCTACTAATCAAGAACTTAAAATTTTACAATCACATAAAATTAGTCATTATATTATAAAGAAGAAAAATAAAATAAGAACTAATTATGTGTCATTATAAAATTTTAAGTGCTTAATTGAATTCAATGAATCAAATCGATATCATGACAAAGATAGAGAATCAAAAGTTTCACTATATCATAAAAAGGTGACATGTGTAAGTGGAAAAAAAGGAAAACAAATTAAAAAAAAAATGTATAAGTAATAGAGTCAAGGAGAAAGTCAAAAGTGGAAAAAAAAATGAGGGAGGCTAAGGCAGTAATTTTACCCTTAGATCTAGCGCCTCAAGTATCAAGTCTCGTGTTAAAAAAAAAAAAAAAAACTGGGGGAGGGGGGTGTCCTCCTTTCAATGCAACGTAGGTAAGCCCCTGTTTATACTATTTTTAGATGACTTCTATATATTATATCCCTTTAATTTTACAATGATAAAGAATTAACAGAAATATGAAATGATACGTATTATTCATTATTAGATGGTATAACTTTAAGAAAATTAATTATTTGACCATTATAATTTTAATACAGTCATGACTCAATTTTAAAATTTTAACTTATTGTAACTCATTTTATATAATGTTGATTTAATTAGAACTTAATTCTTGACTATGACTCTTTCAACTTAATCCCTATAATTTTAACTATTTAAAATATTTGTCCATATATTTTAAAAAATAAAATTAAAAAGATTAAAATTATGTTAAAATTTATGAATAATGTTTTAAATTACTAAACCCTCTTAATCTTTATAAATATTATAAATATTAAAATTTTAAAATATTTTCAATCTTTAAAATATTTTTTTTAAAGGGTTAAGGTTCAATTTTGTCTATGTACTTATTGTTTAAGAGCGATGGGCACTATATATTCTTAAGTGGAGTAATTTTATTTTTGAACTATTTTTTTAAGGAACAAAAAACCTTTTGTTAGTGAACTATTAATTTTTTTTTATTTTTTGTTGATGTGGCATATGCGTGAGGCTCATGCACAATGACATGTAATGTAAGATTTTTATCATGTCATTTGGTGCTAATTTATCCCTTAATTTTTTTTTTTAGGAGCACCAAGCACCCTTAAATCTTTTTCTAAGAGAGCTAAGCACTCTGAAATCTTGTTAAAGTAAAATTTAATAAATATTTTAAAAATATTAATTATTTTAACCTATAATAATTTAAATATTATTATTTAAAACTCTATACCACCCAATTTAATATTTTTGATATTTTACAATCTTTTATTAAAAACAAAGGGAATGAACCTCCAAATTAATGAAGAGATTATTTCTTCCCTTCTCTCCATTTTTGTCTTGTTAAATAACTTTTTTTTTGTAGCACATTAATAAAATAAGTGATATATTTTAAATAAATATTTTTGTGGGCATATTATTGGTCCTATTTAATCATATTTCTAATTTTACTCCTGACACTACAACATACAAAAAGTATTAAATTTGGATAGTGCAATATCTTGAAAAAAGATTGACCAAAAAAAATTACAAAAAATAATCTAAAAATTTAAAAAACTTAACTAATATTAAAATTATAAGCAAATTCTGACACGCATAAAAGGTGTAACAATTTAAATATTATCTTGGAGAGAAGATTAAAGACCGATATATAAAAAAATTTATAAAATTATAAAATATTAATTTGAGTTGTTAATATTTAAAAAGTAATTTATAAATTTTGAATGAATATTTATGAATAATAATATTTAAATTATCAAAATATGAAAATATTTAATATTTTGATAATATTTATTAAATTTTATTTTAATAAGACTTCAAGGTACCAAGTACTTTTAGAAAGAAACTTTAGGGTACTTAATGTTTTTAAAAAAAAAGTTTAAAGGCAACTTAGCATCAAAGACCATGGTCAGAATCTTACATATCAGTGTGTGTGGAGAGAAAATTGCAAAGTTAACAATTTCCTAACAGAAATAATACTTCAAGAAAAAAATTACCCTACTTAAGAATATAAGGTATCCAACGTTTCTGAAAAATAAGTACAAAAGCAAAATTAAACTTTAATCCTTTTTAAAAATACAAGGACTAATATCTTAAATTATTAAAACTATAGAGATTAAATTGCAAGAGTCAAAATTCAAAGACTAAATTATAATTAAATTCAAACTATAAAAATCAAATTATAATGAGTTAAAGTTTAAAAATTAAATTATATCTGAGTTAAAACTATAAAGATTAAATAATTTTTTTCTCTATAACTTTTTGTTTACGTGTAAGTTCGAAGTTCATACAAGTGTTATATTACCTAATTGCTAGTAACAAAACCTTATAATACATAATTTTTATTTTTTTTTCTCGACTAAATTACCTAATTTTCTTAGGTTTTCAACACCTCCTTCGCTTCACCAATGGGGGGGAAAAAGACTTTCTTTGCTGTTTAATACTACGTTCTTCCCACCTGCTGATGCGCTTAACACGCTTGTATATTAAAATAGGTAAGTCCTTTTCATCTTCGCCAAAACAACGCAAGAGTTAATGGCTTAATGCACTTTTTCAAAAACTCGGGGAAATCCGTATACAAAAAAATAACACTCGATTTTCCACGAACCATACATAAGGTACAAATCTTCGTGGGAATTAGAATGTGAATGACTAATAGAAGTGGCCAAAGCATGTGATCAATCAGTACTGATAACATCAAGGAAAATAAAATCCACATGGGCTTCCACCTAACCATCTTCCAAATTCACTCTACAAAAATAAAACAATCTAAACATATTCTTTTACTGATTTGGTTTACTGTAACTATACTTACTACAAATAAATCGGACCTTAATTAATGTTTCCAAAATAGGAAATCACCGTGGGCCCTCTAGTTGTCAACCATGAAAGGAAATCAATATCATGGCAATACCTCGGGACACATGCTTCGATTCAACGATCGATACAACCTCATCCAAGAATATAATGACAATGTTGGGATGATGACACATTCAGGAATTTACTATTCATCATCAACTTTATCAAACACCTAGACCCCAAAACAAAATGGAGCTCTATTCAAAAAATTCTCCCAACACAATATCAGCTCATCTCCTTCCAGCTCGCTCTAGCCTTTACTAGGACCACCCTCAAGAAAATTTTCAAATTCAAATGAGATTTGCCCTCTTTAAAAATCTGATAGTCCGACAATAATAGGGCCATATTGACTCCACGAAATCGATGTACTTCTCCAATAACCATTCTTCCAATTCTTTAAACTTTCTTTTCCTCAGCTCTTTGTAATCTTTATTTTTTAGGCCCATTACAGGCTGCAAAATAAGAGCTCCGATATCTTCTTTCAGCTTTCCACAAAAGACATAGCTAAAAGCCAGAATGCAGAAAGAGGGCATACTCTTGAGTACTTTGACAGTCTGCTTGAAGCTGAAGACATAAAGTGCATACAATTTTCGAAGTATTGTGATGTAGAAAGCCACAATGAGGGGCCCCAAAACCCACAAAGGGGTCAATTCCCTTGAAATTTCAGCACCATGTATGACATTAACGGCCAGGTAGAAAGGAACACTGCATGAAAAAGATAAATGAGAAGACACGTAAAAAAGACTTGCGTGTTCTATAGCAATCAACACTGTTGACATTGTCTAATGCAATAAGGCAGATAGCACAATAGTTACAATCTACAATCTCAGTTCTCTAGTATCTTAAGGGAGGATATATAGCTTCTGTTTTTTAGCATAAAATCAACAGTGAGTTGTTGACCATACAACAACAACAACAACAAGCCTTTATCCCACTTTGTTGACCATAATTATGTCCATTTTAATATGTCCCCTCACAGTCATGAAAATTTACTAGGTGTCCTCATAAAACAAACAGGGAAAACTAATTGCTCGGTTGCTAACAAGTAACTCCAAAGAAGTCTTAGATTTATTATGACTAAAAACTTAACCAACGTAAAAAATATGCATTAGATAAACAGTAATAAAGATGATGCTACCAAAAATAATACTAGTTATTGGTAAGATATTAACCAAGCATGTCATTTTCCCTTTTCTTACTTCCTTTTCCCCCATGAAGCCTGATGAGATAAACATCGCTTCAACACCCACGTTCAATTGAGATAAAAAATAAAGTATTTGAATGGCAAAAGAGAAGGAAATTTGAAGATGTATAAGAAACGAAACATGCATATCAGACATGCATAAACATTTTACTTTCTCATTTCCCAGATTTAGTGCGCTTAAGTTATATAGGAGAAGCAGATAGCATAACATGCAGAAAGGCAAAATCTTCATACTTACAATATTAGTAAAGGAATCTTTATTGTTGCATCAAGGGCCACAAAATGAGACCATGCCACCTTCAAAACCTCACCTCTTTTCTGGTTTTGAGGCTCTTGTAATGTTTCTTGTGAAACCCCAAGAGGTGGTTCTTCCATAATTTTCTCTGCTTCTTGAGTTGATGATTGTGTGCGCAACATTGTCAACCATTTCTTGAAAAGTTTATGAATAGCTGGTGATGTTGCAAGGCTGTCATTTTCTTTAGAAGCGTAAGAAAGAGGAACATTGTGGACCTTAGGAGATTCTGATTTGGCCTCACCACTCTCTTCCAGTCCAACAGAGGTCTTAGGAACCTTCAATCCATTAGCTATTGTTATCGATTCATCATTTTGTGCATTGCCTTTAAAAGCTGCAATTCTCAATGGTTTATGCGTGGATCCTCTAATAAGAGGAGATCCTACACTGAAAACAATAAATCCTTTACGTGATGCAGAACTACAGAGCTGTATGCATCCATTTCATACACATTTAGCATCATCAACAACGAAGCTAGAAAACAGAAGAAAGCTACTAGAGGATGGCAAAGTCATCGCTTACCAACAATATACAAAAACCCTCCTGGAGCAGAAATATGAATAAAATATCCTCTGAAATAGCATTAGTTTCTTTTAGTAAAAGCATAACATATTAAAACATGTAGTTTTTTTTAATAATAAAACATAGTTCTAAAACTTTATTTCATTGTGAACTTTCATTGAAAATATAAATGAAAATATTCCTAAGATTTATCAAAATGATTAAATATAAATTCAATCTTTGTTATATTATATAATTAATAGAAAATGTATGGATATTTTGGTCAAAACAGGTCTCCTTGTTACATATTTTCTTTGGTTGAAGCATCTTTTGATTTTAAGACAGGCAGGTGTAGAATTTTAAAATGAAAACAGGGCCAACCAATTTTAAGTTTTGAACATCTCTTGGGATAGGAAAAATGTGATTTACATAAAACATATTTAAATTTCAAGACAAAGAAACAAACATATTTCCACCTTGAAGAAATATTTCGCTTTAACAGGCCATGCCAGTCAGTTCGTCCAATCATGTGATGCTTTGTTAAACACCGTTTCAACTGCATCCTTTTGCTAAGTATAAAACGCCTTGATGAAGATGTCAAATAGACACCCTGTGCACAAGGGGGAAAATCATCTATAAGGTTCATATATTAGCGCACTTGAAACTTAAAGGGGCATGATAAGTCTTGATTGAGAGATCCAGATTCTATAGCAACTACACAAAATCTGGTAGACAAATTGGCTTATCAAAGATTCTTCCATTATGAAGAGTCAGTTTCCAGTAAAAGTACATTAACAAGGATAGATAATAAAGATGACCAGTCACAGCATTGGCCAAAGAAAATAGAGGATTAAGTTGAAAATTCTCAATTGCATGGTCATATAGTTAAAATGGATGTAACATTTATAACGTGCTTTCTTTCCTCATAACATGAAAAGGTCAGTATGTATAAATTCTATTGAATGTACAGATTATATTAAATTAAAACCAAACTTTTATTATCTCATACTGAAAGCTGGCGGCAAAAAAAAAAAAAAAAAATTGTCTTCAACATTTTATTTGCAGCAATGCAAAATATTCTAGCACCATGAAAAAGATAAACCATTTCATAACTTCATCTTATATTGCTTTACTATAAGAATGTCAGCTATTTATTTATTTTGGAGTACGTATCAGCTGTTTATTGGACAGCTTATTCAATTCCATTCACGATAGGCATAAAATTCAATTGTAACCGGAAAAAACTGAACTCGATGCAAGTATAATACAATTAGAGATTTCCGGTCATACTAGAGGTTAAATACACACACACAAACAAGTACCTGTGGTTGGTGTGCTACTAATGCCATTTCAGGTCTTTATCCACCAAATTATCTACTCAAGAGCCTATTCAACAAACACCGAGTAACAGAGGTAAGTGACCAGAAACCGGACACAAAAACACAAGATTGTAACCCAGTCGAACAACTTGTACATAAACACATTTAATTCATATCTGAGAATAGAATGGAAGCATCCAAGATACTGGGAAGTTTGAAGGACCAGAGGTTAAAAGAAAATCACCAATGATTCAAGTGCAATAGGTTAGAAGTAGAATGGAAATATCCAAAGTATTAGGAAGTTTGAGGGACCAGAGGTCAAACGCGAAATCGCAAATAATTCAAGTGGAACAGATTAGAATTTCCCCAGTTTGCGGTAATGAAAGCATGAAACAACAAAAAAGAAATTTTTTGTTTGGCCAGCCAAAAAGAATTAACAAACTAATTTCACTCCATCCTGTTTTTGGTTGATTTTCGCGGCACCAGACTAGATAAGGTTTACGAAAGGAGAGCTCATTCAAAATAGAGCATAATCAAACTAAAAAAAGAAAAACAAATATACAACGGCACAAATACAGTTGAATTAACAGACCTTTGTGCTTGAATTATTGAACAGGTCGAATCAAAACCATCTCAATATGCAACCCTTTCTGAATTTAAGAATCATTTTGCCGAAGACTTTGCTGTAAAGAGATAAATAGAAAGAATGAGAAAGATACAAAGAAAGGAAGGTATAATTGAAGGGGACGGAAGTTCTGGTTGAAAATGGTAGGGTTTTTTTCAGGACCTGTTTCTCCAGGTGGATGATAATGGAGAGTGCCTAAAAAAAACACAGCGGGTAATGTCGACAGAGGCGGTTCTGAATTCTCAGGCAAAAAAAACAAAAAAGAAAAAAGAAAAATGAAAGCAAGGCCTTCGTTCAGGGCCTGCTTGATATTGGTCGCCGCTGTGTAATTTTTTATTTTTTAAGGGAAAAAAAAATAACAAAAGCTATGGTGCTATCGAGTCCTATCTATAAATAACTCTTCCAATAAATCACTAACCAAAGAGATCCTAAGTCTAGCTAATGACTTTCTTTTAAAAATAAATGCAAAATAAAAAATATTGTGTATTGTATATTGTATATTTTATATTTTAATATGTGAAATGGAATTCATGATATTAAAAAAATAAAAAAATGTTATTCTTCAGTAATGAACAACTGAACACTACTATTTCAAATTTAATGTGAAATATAAAACCTACGATCTAATGTTTAGTACAGTATATTGAGAATTTAAAATTATAAATATTTTAAAATTTTATAAATAATTTTTTTAATATATTGAGAAGGCTTGAAAATTTCTCCTTGGTCTTATTTATAAAACAAATACAAAATTTTTTTCATCCTATTTATAAATTACATCATTAAATTTTTATTTCAAAATTTTCCTTTTACATTTCATTGAACATTGGAGGAAAAATATATTGTTAAAGTATCTATATTTAATATGGATAAAGTTAAAAATTTATCAAATTTTCAGACAAAATTAATAAATTTTAAAATTTTTATTAACTCTAATGAAATATATTAAAAATAATTTATAAATAAAATTAGATTAGCAGGCCCTTGACATTTATCTAAAGCCCAGTACACGTTATCACACGAGCTAACCCCATGGGCGCAAACAAAAATTTAACTTACATGCGGAATTATAATTTCATAAACATGTTTTTAGGCTGGTCAAAGTAAAAAAGATAATTTATTTTATTCTTTTTAATTATCATGACTCTCATGCATGGTACATGTACCAAATTAAGTATTCTTTTCGATTTTAAATATATGAATTATCACTTTGTCTTTTAAGTTTATACTTATTTTTTCCAAACCATCCTTAGTAATTATAAATATTAAAGGGAGTTCCGTCAATGACATTGCTTCCAATACAAATGATTAAATAAAATATTTTTCTTTAAATTAATTATCTACTCTTTTCATTAATAAATGTAAGACATTTTTTAAGAGGTTGAATATTAAAAAATATAAGATATTTTAAATCTTTTAAAGTATAATCATTACCTTCTTTTTTAAAAAGCCCCTATTGAATATATTACTTTATATTTTTTTAGAATAAAATACTTTATTAAATAAGAGTAAATTTAAAAAAATAAAGTTAGTTTAAAGATAAATAATTACTTTATTGGAGATAAAATTCGATTAAAAATATCTTATATTTTTAAATGAAAAGGTATAGCTCCTATATAACCACCGAAAGGGTGGTATATATAATTAATAAAACTTAATAAAATCGCATGTTTAATAAAAATTGATGTCCATCAACTCTGTAGTACAATTTTTCACTAATGCTCCATTTGAATAGAGAGAAAACAATGAAGAAAAAAAAAACCTAACAAAAAAAAAAAGAAGTAAATAACTTTTCTCCTATCTGGATAAGGAAAAAAAAAGTAAGAAAAAATGGGATGTAAAACCCACCTCATTTTCCTCCCTAGTTTTCTCTCCACCTTATACCCTTTTGTTTGATTTAATTGATCTGGCCTGTACAAATGTATCCTCCGCAGCCACCCTCCTCTCCTCCCGCCCCTCCGAACTGCTGAACGTCGTCAGAGGTGCCCTAAGCCCACGGGATGGGATTCGATAGGATGTGCTGATGCACTTTCAAGGGACGCCCACCATGGGACCAGGGATGTAAATTGCTAGCTGAGGTTCCAATGTGCTGTTAATGAATGTTTTTCAGCGACACAAGGGCTCATGCTTGACTGTTTAAGCTTTTGCAACTGACTCTTTATCAAGCCTGGGCTTGCCACTTGTGTAAAAAAAAAAAAAAGATATAGTATGGTAGGGCTTTATTTTAAATAAGAAATAATATAATTTAGCTTATTTTAAAATATAATAACATGAAAAGTGAAAATATATTTTGTATCAAGTGATCTGATTTTAAATTATTTGATGATGTTAATTTTAATATATTGTTTACCTTCAATTTGCTTTTATAAAGATAATTATACAAAACCTAGTATATTATAAAATAAAGACATTATAATTATTATAATTAATAATATTTCTAAAAGCTTGATAAATAATAGAGCATAATGACATCTTGCAATCCATGTAGCCGACCCCACTTAGTGGGATAACGGCTTGTTGTTGTTGTTGTTGTTTGTATAATCATTGTAATATTACTCATTTTTTTCCTTTCTATCATTTGTTGTTTCCAAACATGAGAGATTATAATATTTCCTATTCAATTTTTTCTTCTCACCTTTTTTTCCCCCTCCTTCCCAGTTTTTCTTCCCATCTAACACGGGTAAGAGTAAGGGCGTGTATTATGATGATAAAGGAGATAGGAAAGAGCATCCGACAAAACATACCAATAATGGGTTCCAAACAAGAATAATTTTCCATCTCAATACACCCATTGATGAAAGAACACCATACCAAGAATACAGATTTCAAACTCGTTCGATTAACAAAACAAAGAAATTGAAAAATTAGAGATTTGGCGCACTGTCGAAGTCAAGACCGATTTACTTTTACATGCATTTTATTTTGTCATTTACTAAAGCAAATAAACTACTATCTACCAACTGCCAATAAACAGATATATAGTCGCAAGTTTACTCGTCCCACGTCAGTATTCAGAGAAGATAAAAATACTGTACGTCAGCACGTATTTTCTAGCAAAAATGGGTCGAATGCACGTATGCAGTGTGTTAACGAAAATAAGAAGGCCTGTAAAACTTCTCTAGCACCAAAACCAAGCGCATTGTGGTTACTAGAAACAAGGATCGCTGAAACTTTGAAATTGTCGAGGATTCCATAGAAACAAAAACAAAATGCCATGAAATTAATATTTCCAATCAGGTACAGCGGAAAATAACATCCAACTACACAGGTCACTAGCAGCCAAACCTTCCCTCCCCCTTGGCACCCCAAAATTTGTGGGTACCATCTTCATTGTTGTCAGCCCTGCTCAATGCATACACCGACTGTCAGAAGATAATTCATCTTGATTCACAATTCAATCGCATCTGAAACCTAAGCTACATATACCTGAAAATGGCCGACCATCCAAGCACAGCTAATGGAGGTTAGGCTCCTGATGGAAACCAGACCATTTTACAGTGCCTCTCCCCACTAATTAACAGCATTTAATCAAAAGAACCACCCTGACGTCCATAAAAATTCCCCCCACCTCGTCTAGAGTGCGTTTGACTTCTCTCCCTATATCTTCCTCCATTGTAATTGCTGTCTTTAGGTCTTTCCGGGTTATCTGATTTGCTATTATCATGCAGCCCTACAGGGTGGTACTCATATTGCAAGCTATGCCCTTGCCTTTCCCGGAGCTGATTATAATGTCTGTTGTCTTGCCCAGATGATTTCCAATCCCCTCTTGATTCATGTCCCCTTCCAAAACGATTTTGATTTCCATTTCCGCGAAATCCAGAAGACAAGCGCTGCTCAGGTCTGAAATCCACACTTGTTGGAGGTGGCTCAACTGAACTCACAATTACCTGACTTGGGGAATGGGAACGACCCTTTGGTGGAGCATTTCTACTCTCTCTTTTGGCTTCTTGGTTCCCTATATTTGTAGCTCCCCCCGCCTTGCCTTTCTCTAAGTCTGATTGATCACTGTGAGGTCGGGGAGTATGTGAGTCAGTCTCGTTGTAGGGGCCTCCTGGATGAGATAAACTCCCATGAGTGGAATCCTTTTGAATAGCCTGACTTGCCTCTGGACAGACATTGCGATAATTGGGTCTGCTACCCTGCTGACTACTAGATGCCTGGGATTTAGGTTGCCAGTGAGCCGTCAAACGTTCTCCAACACTTCGATTTTCCTTCAAAGCAGCACCAACATCTGGTTGACCAGGCTCAGATGATGAGATTTGCAATTCAATTTTCTCAGCCTCCCGATCATGTTTCTTGTGATCAATGTCATGGTTCATCCCCATGACCCGGTGTCCTCTGGAAGGACCCCGCCTCCCCCTGCCTGTCACTGCTTGATCTTTAACAGCAGGAGCAGAAGGCTGAGCAGTTGGATCCTGATTGGCGATGTGGTGTGACCCATCAGGATCAATGGAGTCATTAACATGCTTGGTTTGGCCTTTCACTGAGCTCATGTCAGACTTCTGTGCCTGTTGACGTTCAGTTGATCTTTGAAGATTTTGACCATTGTTTGGATCAGAGTGCAGTCCCTCTTCCGCATCATGCACATTAGTAGATTCTGTTGAACCCCGTTGCCGCCATGATCCATGAGTTTTTCCCTGCTTAGTTTGCCTGACATCTCCATTCTTGGACTCCATTCCACTAGCAACTTTTACAACAGGTGAACTGGTATGTTGAGAAATCTGGCCACCTTGAGAAGCAGAAACAACTCTTCCAACAAACTCATCTGTAGGGCGCTCATTGATTGATGAAGCCACCTGTTGTACGCTTCCTTGCTGAGCCATTTCTTTTGCAGCAGGTTTGGGAATATATCTCTCCATTTCAGCTCTCTTATTTTTAAAATTACCATGCACTTGCTGATCAACCTTTACAGAGTTAACTGTCTCAAATTTACTTTTCTCAGCTGATTCATCTGCAATCTCCATTTTATTTTGATGTTTAACTGGTGCCCAAATCACAGTATCATTCCCATGGGACTTCTCTGTTGGTCTATTAGCCTGCATGTTTCTTGGCATCCTTCGAGAATGCTGAGATTTCCATTGGCTGCTCAACCTACCATGGGATTCCTCATTTGATGAATTTCTGGACTGCTCTGGATGCTGATTTGGATCTTTAGACAAGGAAGCAGGCAGAACTGAGTCCTGATTTAACTCAAAGTTAGAAGCCTTGGGGTGATCACTTTCCACAGAACTTCTAGAAAAATTGGCTTCCTTTGGAGTTGCCAGAGGTAATGATGCTGCAAAAGACGGACTCTCCTCAACTTTGTGTTTGTTCTTTCCATTCTTATTATTATTCTTCCTTTTCTGGTTTACAGAAGACTCAGCCACAATAGTCAATCCACCAGCAGAATAGACTTCATTTGCTACAATCCCAGGAGAGCCAGCATCAATCACTGTGCCATTCTCAACTTTTGAGGCAGCTGGGGTGGCAGAAATAAGCTTCTCATTGGATGAAAGATTCTGCTTTTGTTTATAGCCCACTCGCCTCTGCTTTGCAGCAATATTACTTAGAACCTGCATATCCCCAGTAGCTTCAGCACTATAAACATCCTGGTGCAAGGTCACTGATTGATTAGGAACAGATTCTTTGCCAGTGTCTAGTTTTTCAGAGGGCAGTTCAACAGACAAGATCAATGATGTTCCTACTTGGTTAGTGCCATTCACACTTATCTGACTATTGGTGCTACACATCATGGATGCCCCAGATTTGCCAGCCAAATTTGCTGATTCAGAAGCTTGTGATTCCTGTGTCTTATTCTTGAGGGCAGAACTTGTAGCATTCTCTTTATAATTTGATCCTTCCACTTCTTGTGCACGCCTGTTAAGCTCATCTAGCTTCGCAAGTGCTTTAGCCTTTTGCTTCCTTATACGCTCCTCCTCTTCCTCTTGCAGCTGCTTAGTCCGCTGCTTAGCTAATTCTTTAATTTTAGCACGCTGAAAAGTTCCAAAGCATATTGTGTAAATGATGGTACACAGAAGCTAGCAAATACAAAATTGGTTTATATTTTATCACCTGTGCCTGAGTGGCAATTGGATCAGACATGGACTGCACAGATTCTCCATCATGCCTAGCTTGGTGATAGGACCCAGACCTGTCATAGGTTTCAATGGATATTCGATGGTCACCAATGTGAACATCAGATGCTTCCAACTGTGAACTAGATGGAGTGGAATCAGCATCAACAGACTTCTGTCGCCACTCATCAGCATCTTGATTATTGAATCTTCCCTTGCTACGATGATCAGCTCTACCTTGAATGCCATGAACAGCTCGCCTGTAAACAGGCATTTCAATATGTTCCCCATGTTAAAAGCAAAGTTACTGCAGTTGATACCAAGAAGTTATGAACAAACCTGGATGATTCTGTCCCCCTGAAAGACAAGGATTCAAGATTCTTTTCTCCACCAGAGGCACTCACTTCACGAAGGGTTGGATTCAAGACTTCAGGGGTGCATTTTCTCTGAAGAAGCATATCACCAGCAACAACTCCATTTTCCACATGATTTACAGGAGCATTAGCAGCGTAAAATTTATTCCTTTGCTCCTCCCTACTCTTAGCAGATGAATTATCCCTAGCTTTTGCATTCAAACCCTCTATCTTCTGAATTAGGCTGGATTCTTTTGGGGCAACTGATCGTGAAGGGACTTCTTCCCCACCAGAAGCAGTACGATCCAATTTCCTTGCTGAAGTGTCATTTGATGTCTTGATATTCCCAGAACTATCAGAATGATCAGCTTTGACAGAAAAACTAGATCCTCGATTTTCTGAAGTCTGCAAAACTTCATCCCCACAACCACCTGCCCTTGAATTCATCTCCTCATTTACTCTGGAATCTGTTTTCTGCTCATTGTCCCAGACAGGCAGTCCTTTGTTATCCCTCCGCTCAACATACGCATTTACTGTCTCTGATTCCTCCCAGTTTGATGGTTCATTTTTTCCATCCCATGCATTATTTTGCTTTAAAAGAACTCTGTATGGTCCACCAGTATCAGGAGGATGACTGGATTCCCCTTGCTTTGAGGATTGCTTTCCAGAAGAAACACATCCCCCAGATCTACCTTGTAAGTTGCCAGGCTCAGAAGGATTTTGAACTGAGTACCTGCTGTAAACAGTAAGTCCAGCTGACATTCCCATGAAAGGAACATCCCGATCATTTGAATTGCAATAACCCATTGGAGCACTATAATACCCATCATAGGCCATTGGACCAGGATAAAAGCCTGCCCTAATAGGCATACCTGGACGAATATATGAATCAGGCATATGAGGCCTGTACGCATCCCCATTTTTTGGATGGGGCCCTCGAGGACCAGCCCCAGGAGGAGGAACCGTTGGTGGGTTGACAAGACCAGTAGGAGGAATATGAGGGCGATAATAAGAAAATGGTTCAATTGGAAATCCACCAGGAGTAACAGGACTTCCAAATGGGGGCCCACCAGGCGGTCCTCTAAACCAAACACCACCTTGAGGGTTATTCACTGGAGGAACATGCCAAGCATCATAATGCTGAGGACCAATCCCAGCACTAGGGTAAGGGTGGGGATTCCCCTGCCATTTCTCCATGCTAGGCTTCATTCCATCATCACTGTGCGTCTGATGATCTCCTCCCCAAGAATTTACTGCTCCACCCATGACATTTGCATCCACTGAAACATCATCTGTAAATTACCAAAATGCAACACTGTTTCAGATGAAAGAACACCAAATCCTCACAGTAGTAACAGAAAGAAACAAATTGCAGTGACATGCAAATATAAAGGCAAGAGCAACTAGACAAACCAACGGTTTCAGCTTTTTCTTTCCCATGTCCAGAAGATGAGCCAGGACGACCATGAGAACTGTGGTCTGCCAAAAGTTGATAAAAAAATTACCACTGACAGAAGATCCTAATTAAGGTAAATGATAATATAACCTATCTTTTGTCTAATTTTTGTAGCGCAATGATTTCTACATAAATAACAACCAACATCAGATAAAATGACTCCTTAATTAAAAAATAGCAGCTACCTCCGTATAATCATTCATCAATTATTAATAAATAGAATCACAATCATATTGATTTCAATTTACCCATGAAGCCACGCTATAATAAAGGAAAAGGCAACCGCACTTTCAGAACAGCCATCTAAGCACTCACTGAAACACTCATAATGAAAACAAATCACAATTGACAAATTGGTAAGGGAAGACAATATACTCGAGCAGGAAAAAAAAAATCACCAAGACAACCAGTGAAATTACAGCAACCAATCCTAGATGGAAATTATATGGCATAAATTTAGGGCTTTAACCATGAGCTACAGAATGAATAATTTTTATTTAGCTGGTCTCTTTTATATGCAGAGGAGCTGCACAGCACAGCTCCATTTCATATTTAATTGTCTTGTCTTTCAATTAACTTGTTCTGAATTCTCTTATTTTCTTTTGCAGAAAAGATAAGACACATAATCCTCCTCCTTAGTATTTTTCGTGTCTCTTAGAACAATGAATAGCTGCTTCATTACAAAAAACAAGTTTAATAAAAGTATCAAAGGAAAATCAACCAAAAAAAAGTGGCAAAGGAAATGCTACCTTGCAACTCAGAATTCTTTAGAGACTTGTCCTTTTCAGAACCAAGAGTTGGGAAATCTCCAGAACTAAGAGAAAACTCACTCTTGGCTCCCTGCGTTTGCACCCCAGAAAAAAATGATGTTATCAGAAGGGCTAGTAATAAACACAACTTACAAGCAGTCATGGGCAGGTAGTGCTGAAATTAGAGGGTTTGTATAATTTTTTTTTTTTTTGGGAGGGGGGGATAGATCTTTGATGGCATAAAATACAATGAATTCAATTCACTTCCCTTAAAACGTAACCAATGCAAAATGCTTGAAATTCCTACGCCATAGATCTTATTCTGTTAATCATGCAAGATAAAAGTTCCTTCCACAAACAAATACTGACTTATAGCAACAAAATAGACTTGCTCGAACAACGCCTAAAGTGAATTAACTATTCATGAGTTACAAATAGTACGGCTTGCTATATATTTTATATCAAAGTTTAATTGCATGCAGACTAAGGTTGACACCAAGTCCAAGACTGCATCATGGATGGTTAGTGACAGTAAAACAATGAATATATTGTAATCTTTTAAGCACATACAATACTTAAGTCTACAGCCTACCAGCTTGTCCGCAGCCCTTGAACTACTCCAAGCCACAGGATTTTCAGTCAAGGATTCAGCAAATCGAGACAACTGTGAGCTACCAGGTCTTGTTTCTGCACTCCGAGGACGCAGTGATGGCAGTGAAGCCTGATTTGTTGTTAGTGAACCAGATGCTGATGATGGCCTAGAATTTGAACCCCATGCATTTGAATTAGGTTCAAGAGCCCTATCACTGCCAGCAGTTGAAGGCCTCGTGCCACTTCCACCTGATGATGGACGAGCACTGAGATGACTGGGTGAGCTACTACCACCATCAGTGTTTGGTGAGAGAGAAGACGACCCCCAAGCATTTGATGCAGAAGATGATTTACTGCCCCAGCTGAGGGTACCCCTAATCACAATGGATAGATTGCATCATTTCAAGAAATAAAGAATACAAGTAGATAAAACATCATATCACTGAGATCAATAAATATTTACTTACTTGGGAACAATCTCCACATTTGGGTCCAGACCATGATTTTCTAACCTTGATACAGAACAAATGGGAAATATTCAGAAGGCAGCTGGTCACATTGATTAGCCAAAAAGATAACAAGTTGAGCAAGAAACTAAATACCTTTGACTGGGCAAATTAATAGGTTTTGGAACTGCAACTTTGCCTAATACAGTCATACCACCTCTCCTGGAACTTGAAGAGGCCCATCTGCAACAGTATTAGCAACACTATTGTCAAACATCAAACTTAAAATCTCCTCATTGATAAAGACAAAGGATTATAGATAACATCATAATTTGAACGCAAATTTCATTTGGTTTCCCACTTGATCATATCACTATACAAAATGGAAACAAAAGTAAAAAATCAAAATATACCTTCGATCCCCACTCAACATACTTGAAGTCATAGCCTAGTTGCTGCCACACAATCATTCAACCCACTTGGAAGGCCTATTGCAAGAAACACATAGTTAAGGGCAATTGTGTGATATTATATTGCTATACATGCATAGAAGGCAATTCAATTAGAAAACAAATTGATCAGAATACTATCAACAAAATTAAAGTCCATAAATATGAATATTGTCTCTCCCAAAACTTCACTGAGAATTCAAGTGTTACATTTGCTATTTTTTAAAATGAGGTGGCCAGAAGCAAAAAATTGAATCCTTCTATGTATTTAATTTACATAATCTGATTTCAATATCAATACATGTCTTTATCATCGTTCCCAGAATTCCTCGTTCCGAAGAACTTTTGTTCCTGCCTCCACAACAATCCCCTAAAGACCGCCCATCACTGATTAACATTCTTAGAACATATAAAGGGCGTGAACCTCATGCAACTAGTCAACTTGTATAAAGCAGCCTTCTTTATCCATTGATGAAAATTATACTTTGTCTAGCAAATATAAGAAACAGCCACGTGCTGTCCCATGTTCCACCAAATATATACTCCAGAAGAATCAAATTCAACATTCGCCAATAACTATCTCTCACATCCAACTGTAGACAAACCTTTACCATTTACAGGCAAGAGATCCAAGAAAGAAACAACTGAAACCTTACGAAAAAGAGCATGCTTTCAACAACGAAATTATCAACGATAAGGAATCAACTACCGCATATGCAAGCATTAACAATCGCAAATTGGGTTCAGATTCTCCGCATGAAGTTAAGAAACATAATCAACAATAGTGAGGTGCTAGGATCATCGTTTTAAAAGAAAAATGGATATGGCAGAGAAGTTGCATCAGTAAATTTTCTTTGGGGCGTCGCCAGATAAAACAGATTCTGTACCACTCCTTTTTTATTTGAACAACAACGAACAAACAGAGACATATCTTAAAATCCCTTAATATATTAAGCGCAAAGACACAGTCACAAAAATGCTAGTTATATATCGTCCCACGCAATAATTACTTTCCCCTTCGTTTCCCTCGAGGATCAATCAATGGATAGATAAAATTCAGAAGTGGAAGCAAAAGCATGCCAGGCACAACTCCAAAGTACCTGGCCTGATTTAAAATAAACGAACAGAGGTTCGTAGAAACCCTAAAGAAGCAATTACAGAAAGCTTTCCCAGAAATAGGGGAAAACGATCAAAGGCTTGCGGGATTATCGAAGAGGATCGTGGTGAAAATTCAGAGAAGGAGATCTGCAAGCGTTGATGCAACGGCCTTGTGTGCGGGTTTGGGATGGGAGATGAAGGAGCGAAGAATAGAAACAGCTGAAAGGAGTTCGAGGACGTCCCAGTCGAAATGCCTTGCGAGACATTATTCACAAATATAGGCCCCTTTAAGAAAATATATTTTTAATCCATTAATTTTAATATATATTTTAAATTTTAATTTTAACTTAATTGTAAAATGTAAAAGTAATAACAACAGCCCCTGAAAAAAAAAAAAATCGGCGGCGATGCCAGTGGTGCAGTGAATTAGGTGCTCGAAAAAAAAAAAATTAGGACCACATCGCTCTTAGAGTGAAAAATGATAATTTATATTTAAAAAGATTAAATATTACATTATTTTTAAAACTCTAACCTCATTTTTGCAGGAATGAAGAAGGAATATATTAAAATTTTAATATTTTTATTACTGCTGAGACTCCAAAAAAAAATTATCTTAATATTGATGATAATAAAAATCATCAAGATTTCATTGATGACAATAATAAAATCTGATTATTATTAGTGTTAATTTTATAATGTTATTTTTATTAAACTTAATTTGTTTTATACATTTAATATTATGTGTAATAATGTTTTTGGAATTTTAAATATATTTTTCATATTTTAAACTAATATATATATATATATGGTTGAAGCCCTAAAGGTCAGAGTTGAGTGTAGAGCCGGTAATTTAGGCCGAGCTTGACAGATTAGCTCGAACCCACCAAAAAAATTTAGGATTGAGTTTAGAAAAGGTATGATATTTTTATGTTCAGACTTATTCAGTTTGGGTCAAACACAATCGGCTTAGGGCTTAACCCGAATACTTGAATAAAAAAATTATTTTTGTAAAATATATAAAATATGATAAATAATAATTAATTCATTTAAGTTTTAGGTCATTTTATACTAAAAAATTATATATTTGAGTCATATATGTCATTTAAGTATTGAAAAATTTTAAAAATAAAATAATTAATTTTAAAGTAAAAAATTAATTAAAATGATTTTAAAAATAAAATCTGAGTATTTGGGCAGCCTGAAGCCTGAGAAAATTTGCATTAAACTTAGCTATTCAAGCTTTTTAAGAAGTCAAGCCTATTCGAGTTCAGGCCACGCCTGAATAAGCCTGACCCATCAGAATTTCTAGCTTAGCTGGAGCTAATCAAAATAAAATCTTGAAATATAATTAGATTTTATAGGGCCCTAACCCTTTAAAGATCGGCCCTAATTCATACCTTTAGGTGCCAAAAATGTTTCAACAGTCTATCTTACCTGAATTATATTTGATGACTCCATTGAAAAACTTTGTCTGTTTAAAAATATAAGGTTTTTTTAACCAAATTTCACCTCCTTGTAAACTAGTTATTTATCTTCAAGTTAACTCTATATTTTTATATTTACTTTTATTTAATAAGATATTTCATCATAAAATAGATATAAAGTAATTTATTCTATACTTTTGCAAAAAGGTAATGATTATAATTTAAAAGACTATAAATACTTTATATTTTTCAACATTTAATTTCTTAAAAAATGTTTTATATTTTTTTAACTGAGGGAGTATATTGTACCAAGTTTGTGATCTATTATACTGTTCTGGGGGTGTTCACGGGACAGGAGGGGAATGGGACACCTCCATCCCATGGCCCATCCTGAAAAATGATCGGACTCAATTTTTATCTCATGTCCCGTCCCTAAAAGAGTCGAGATGAGATTGGGACGGGACCGGGATGTCCCGAGTCATGGCGAACCTAATTAAATTTTATAATTCAGTTACAAAAGATCTTTCAACATAAATCAAATACTACAAATAAAAAGCAAATTATAAAAAGTACCATCTAAAATGCTAACTTCTTTAAATCATATACTTAACACAAAGCCTTAAATTGATCACATAATGTAAATAAAAACTTATTTTCTTTAAAGGTAATACCTCATTGCTAATGTAGATAAACCCAGATAAGCATAGACTAAGATAATAAAACTCAGCTACAGCAATATAGGCAACAACAATCAAGCATAAACTCAAATAAAGAAGGTCTTTGTCGTTTGATTAACATGTTAATTTTATACATACATCATGTCCTACCCCAGCTTGTATTTTGTTCACAATAATTATGCATCCATCTGTTTATTAGCTATATTATATATAACGAGGGCTATGTACATGTGCACCATCTACTCCTATATATAATATATTATATGTCTTACCTTCATCCATATTCATTGCTAGCTTTTAAGATTCACTTTAATTTAATTTTCATATAAACTGCGCTACTACATATCAACCATAAAACCATAAATACACAAGAGGCAGCCTAATTAATTATAAATGTGTGTGTGTGTGTGTGTGTGTGTCTTATAATATATTCTTGATGGGATGGAATGATCATATTAAGTGGAGTGATTCCGGGAGATTAAGAGAATATATGGGAATTAAGAGAGTGGGTGCACGCAAACAATTAAATATCAAATGACAAAGATCTTGTGTGGGCAATACATAAATAGAATGAGTGCAGGCAAGCTGAGTTTATGCCTTTTAAGTTCATTAAACATGGGTTCAGCTTTATAATAATATAAAAAAAGGAGGTTGGGCCACGAAACAGACCTGCAACTTGTAGGGGTGACGAACGAAAATGAAAGCTAGACCAAGAAGGAAAGGGATTTGAGGCAGAGATGAAAAGGAGGCGTCACGCCAATAGCCCCAATCGTGAAGAGGAGCTAAGGTATAGAGGAGAAGAACTTAAGACTGTGAAGACTAGAACTGTGACTCGCTTGACTGATGTAGGTACCGATGGCATGGGTGGTTGCTTGACTCGCGTCTTGTGTGAAGCCATGGTGGAATTGTGAAAACTGGAACTCTTAAACTGGAAGGAAAGTGATGCAGCTGTGCCCATCAATAAGGTAAAGTAATGGGGAAAGTGAGAGTGTGGGAATATGATTATTAAATTTGAAGGTTAAGGGCTAAGGCTGCAAGATAATGATATGTACAATTTCAAAAAAAAAACTATTATAAACGAGATAGGACGGGACGTCTCGATAGTAAGCCCGAGTCCCATCCCGTTCCTTTTTTTGTCCCGTCCTATAAAAGTCTCATCCTGATTTTTTTCAGGTCGGGATTGACCCGTCCCAATATGATCGAGACATATCAAGATGAGTTGGGCCGATCAGGACAGGTCTATCTTAAACACCCCTATACTGTTCTATGGTCGAAAAAGATCTATTCTGTTCCCAAAATCGGGTCTATAATTTGAAAAAACTAAAAGGAAAAAAAAAGTTGTTGAGCCACTAATATTGATCCTTGTCTGGGCAATAACAATTGCATCACACACTTATCCCAAAAAGAAAAATATTGGAACACACATTTATTTTTCCTAACTTACTTATTGCAAGACAATTTAGGGTGTTGAAAACCAATTCAAATAGATTATTTTATATTAAATTAAACTGATCAAAATTAATTATAAATAAGGTTTTTTTTTTAAAAAAGCAAACACAATCATTTTGGTTTGGTTCATAATTTTGCTTCTTTGAAACTTAAACTAAACTTTATTATATTTATTTTATATATTTTTATAAATTTTCTAAATTTTTCTCTATCATTAATTTAATTATTTGTATATTACTAGTAAAAAAAATCTGCTAAAATTAGCTAAATATAATCTACAATTGTTTTTGATAATTTTTTAAAAAAATTTGCAATCAATAATTTCAGAGATAAATAGATGACATACTAGTTTTTAATAGACGGATTTGCCAATTGATTGTTAAAAAATATTCTTTTAGCTTTGAGAATTTTTTTTTGGTTAAAAATAATAATTAATAATTAAAAGTCACCAACGAGATGAAGGAGCAAAGAATGAGGGATGATTTAAAAAATGTGTAATAAATACTTATTAAAATATATAATTTTTTAAATATATAATTTTGCTTATATAAAAAAATAAATAAAAAAATGATAGTTTTTCTTATAAATAAAAGCGGAGTAATATGTATATCTATTAATTATGAAAAATATCATATAAAAAATTTTAAACTTAGTTTAAACCTAAATCAAATTAAATCAAACTACTCAAAAATTAAACCAAACTGATTATGAAAGAATTAACTAGATTTCAAGTTTTGGTGAACATATTGATTTAGTTCAGTTTTGTTTTTTCCTAAATCAAATCAAATCTTATAGGTAATAGTTTGAATTATTAGATCACACTAAATGGGCTGACCTTTGGAAATACGATATAAAAGCGAGAGAAGTTAAGTTGGTCCATTTGATGAGTCGGGATTCTTTGACACCGTAACTCTGCTTAGTTTTTTTTTTTTTTTAAAAAAAAAAACTCCATGACTCTATGAATGAACAGTGGTGTATAGAGGAAAGACTCGAAGTCCAGTGATTTTAGCCAATGGAGCCAGTGGACCTATCATTTAGGTCACAATGTCGATGCACAAGAACTCAGCGTCTCCAGATAGGTTATGATGATTAATATGATATAATCATGAATTCCTTATTCGTCTCATAAACTTGTTTGGCGAGACAGTAAGCATATTAATTGATTTTTCTGGCTAGTTAATTCTTATTAAAAAAAAAACAGTGCCTTATGAATAACGGTGAGATTTGACGAATACAAATTGCACTGCATTGGATTATATTATATCCATTGTATTTGTATGATATTCCTTGCAAAACATAAAAAATCAATCAACTGTCTTAGAATATACCTGTGCAACACTGGAGCCGCGCAAACATTCCTGGAGTACTTATGTTTGCGTTACTTTGTGACTTTTTTTTTAGCAAAAGGGTCTGCAATTTTATTAAAATAAATTGTATTAGAAAATAGTGACAGCGATGCAATTGCAATTGCAACGATCCATAAATATAGTCAACGAGAATCTCCGAAATCTAAATTTTGACGGTACTCAGAAGTTGTCACCACCGGATCTCCAGCGCAGGGATCCACGGTCACAACAGACGAGTTAAGGAGAGTGTGATCCGGAAAGGAAGTGTAGCTGTGGACATTGGCTTGTCTTCCCATCAGCCCTGTGTTGTTGAGTGCAGGCAAATTTACAGTCTCGGGTACTTTTGTCTCCTACAACTGATAGAACTACTCTGTGGAAATTGAAATAATTCACAGGCTCCTTCTTACTTTGTGCGATAGCTACCTACTCGGAGGTGATAAAAGTTACCGAAGCTTAGATGATTTTGCCGAAATTCTATTTGGCATTCTTAAAAATTCGATAAGTTTCAATAAAATTCTTGGATTCTTGCCGGCTTCTGGGATCTGTTAATTTTCGTGAAGGGAAATTTTAAAGCCAACGCATTTAGAAGGAGTTAGACTTTAAGAGTTAAGATTTTGTGGCTCGCTGGTATTATTATTATTATTATTTTTGGTTGATGGAATTCCTGCAATCCCCTTCAAAAGTTAAGAAATTTACCAAACATAGATGGGTGTTGATGATTGGTGCTGTTATTTTTCTCGTGATGCTGCTGGTACTGGGTATTTATCTGGAACTAGATCGCAGAAAAGCTAGGACTGTATTCAAGGGGTCGTTTTACACCGTGGTCGTTGATTGTGGAAGCACGGGAACGCGGGTGAATGTATACGAGTGGACTGTGGGTAGTGTAAGCGCTATTGACTTGCCCGTTTTGTTGCATTCTTATCCTGATAATACAACACGGAGTTCCCTCTGGAAAAGCTCCTGTCAGTACCACTGCATGCAAACTGAGCCAGGGCTGGACAAATTTGTTAATGATTCATTAGGTGTAAAAGAATCTCTGGAGCCATTGATTACATGGGCAGAGAAGCTGGTTCCACATGAAAGGCATAGAGACACCCCTATTTTTGTTCTAGCAACTGCTGGGCTAAGGAGGCTGGCGAGTAGTGATGCTGAGCAAGTTTTGGGAGATGTGGAGGCTGTTGTGAAGGATCACTCTTTTATGTATAGGAGGAGTTGGATTAGAGTTCTGAGTGGAAGTGAAGAAGCATATTATGGTTGGGTTGCTTTGAACTACAAAATGGGGAGCTTTACTGATTATCCTAGGTCTCCCACCTTGGGACTTCTTGATTTAGGTGGTTCTTCCTTGCAGATTGTGATGGAGGTAGGTGACACAAATGATGACATACACACTTTGAGATCGAAGCTCAATTCAATTGAACATCAGATTATCGCATACTCTTTGCCAGCATTTGGCTTAAATGAAGCATTTGACAGGACTGTCTATATGCTCACAAATAATCAAAGTAGAGAGAAAACTGGGGTTAGCTTTGAAATCAGACATCCTTGTCTCAGATCTAATTTTTTGCAGAACTACACCTGCTATTCTTGCACTGGTTATCAGAAAAATCATAGTAATCTCCAAAAAGATGAGCTTTCTTCTTTGCGTGTTATTGGAGAACCTGATTGGGGACGGTGCAAAGATCTTGCAATTACTGCTGCTTTAAACTTGAGTGATTTGAGTGCACCGCATTCAACATTTGGTAAGAAATGCCAACTAGTAGTTCTTTTATCCTATTCTGAATATTAGACGCATATTCATTGGTAAAGCCTGATGAATCCCCTCTCGTTATCCACTGCACATATGGGCGAACTGAAAACTGTATAGTTTTCTAAATATAGTGAATATAGTAAATTAAGTTACTTGTATCATCAGTTAAGAATTGTGGAGTTTGATTGTTGTGCCTGAGGTCCTTTATCATTAATTTATCTTCCCTGTGTACTCCTTGCTCCCCCCTGCCAAGTTGATAAATGATGCGCCCCCCCCCCCAAAAAAAAAAACAAGAAGAAAAAAAAAAAGCTGGTTTATGTATTCACTTACGCGCTCAATATGCGTCATGCAGGCTCTGGTACATATAATTTAACAGCCGTTGCTCACCCAACAAGGCGCTTCCATGCTTTATCTGGTTTCTTTCTTGTGTACAACAAATTAAATTTGAGCCCAAGATCCAACTTAACAAAGGTTTGGGAATCAGGCAAGCACATATGCTCTACGTTATGGGGTGGCTTGAGCAGTATCTCTGACAGTCCAAATTATGCTGGACAAACTTGTTTCCGGGTGGCTTATATGGCATCATTAATTGAATATGCTCTTCATCTTGATGATGTAGAGATAATATTTGGACCAGGTGATGTTTCCTGGACGTTAGGTGCTGCATTGGTTGAAGGAAAATTCGTTCAGTTAAATACTGCAGCCAGCAAAGTGCAGACCGTCATTTCAACTCTAAAAAATTTGGAGGTCAAGTCTTCGCCGACTTTTCTCTTCTCTATGCTTTTAATACTTTTATTAATTGTTTATTGTAGTCAAATTAAACTTCCTATGCGAAGCAGGAAGGCTTCTGCTGCTGGCATTTCTTTGCCATCTTATACTCAAGCGAGACAACTGTCTAAATTCTAATTAATTTTTGCACGAGTGTTGGTCAATGTGTTTAGTTAGTGTTCATTATTTCTTATGTATCTTTTGTGCACAAATTTCTTTTGGGAGAGTACTAATATCATAAATAATGTTGATTAAAGCAACGCGGGCTAGTTGGCTGGCTCATCAGTTTTGAAACCATAGAATGCCAGCCTCGATCCCAAAAGTTTTGGTGCCAATTGCGCATAACATATGATGCAAACTTCTTATGAGTGTACTTCTACTTTTTTTTTCTCCTGTCCAATTCTATTTGTTGTTATACTACCCGCTGCTCTTTTGATTCATATCATCTGAAGCACAATATTTGCCCACCTAAAAGTCATTTGAGTTGTATCTCAACTCTCAAGCAACTTTCAAACTCTCAGGGTTTGGCTTTAGAAAAGTTGAAAGAAGTTGAAAGTGTCCTGGGTTATGCTATACAATATCTATATATTGTTAATGATTCAGTTTTTGGATAATCTTATGATTCTGCAATTACTTGCCCTGCTTATACATTGGTCTTCTCTCTAGACGTCTATAAAAAGGTTCTTCATCTGAAATGCTATGGAGAAGGTCCCGTAATACATTTGATAACGTCTTTTTCTGCAGGAACACAACTGCTATCACTATATATATATATATATATATCAGATCTTTCTTTTCCTCATAGTTTTTCTTGGTAATTTTTGGGCTGCCAGGATGGATCCTGGGATTTTGGAGGACAGCTTTCATTGAGTGTTGAGTGTTGAGTGTTGACACTTGTTCTTTTTAAACCAGTGAAGGTTAGCTTTAAAGCAACGTCATGCAGCAGAGAAAGAGAAACAGCAACTTTTTTCTTCTTGTTGAAGATAAGTTATATTATATTGGTTATATAATGTGAAACATTAAGGGGGAAGGGAAAGGGAAAGAAAGAAAAAGGAGGGAGGAGGCTGAGAAAATGCTCGACTTTATTCAAAATTCAATTAATCAAAGGTCTGTTTATCATGAGAAACTTCAGGATTATTTATATAAATCTAATTAAATAGTAAAAATATAAAATAATCTAAGCCCTAACTAAAAATATCATCCTTATAAATAGGAAAATATCTTATTCTCACAAAATATAACTAAATTCTAAAATAATCTTAGATAATCTAAAGCCTAATTTTTCAGCAATAAATCCTAATTAACCTAAAGGACATAATAAATATCCATTTTCAGATAAAATATCCTAAAACAAAGAATACCCAATAAAATAATCATAAATATCTAAAATAACCTTAGTTATCTCTAAATCCATATTCCATATTTTAATTCAAATAAAAGAAGCACCATTTTACCTATGCTTGATTTTTTGTTCTTCCGAGGAGGCACCTTGCATGCTCCTTGTTGGACATTACCGTATCAACCATTACAATTTATGTTTATATAACATGGAATTAGATATGCCTAAGGATTATATAAATTAAGGGAAAAATTTATATGCTTGATCTTATAGATTTAAGGTGATTGTTTTCAATTAAATTAAAACATGTGAATTTTTTATAGCTTATTTATTCTATCACAAATTCTTGTTATTAACACTTTCTTGTATTTTAATTTTTAAGATCAAAAAATGATGTTTTCCTCATTTCATAGTCATTACTAGCATGGTCATTGCCTGGCAACTACCATATCGGTTACCATTGCCCTTATTTCTATTTCCCCTTTTGTCGCTGTCATGGTACTACCATAATCAGTCGTGACTACTATTGTTCGATCAGGTGCGGTTACGACCTTTATGATGATTCATTGAATACAAATTCATTTATTGTAACCTAAAATATATTAAAATGTTTTTCTCATGGTAAGAAAACATGTGTCCTTCGTGGGCTTTTCTTATATAATAATTCTGGAAGCACTGCGGCTGGCATGGTGAATGCTGGCTATTATAATAATAAGAATAAGAATAAATCTCCAGTAGAAAATATCAAATGGATGAAGATAATCAAACAAATCTTTTTTGTAACTTTGTTATTTAAACAAAATGACGGGCTTTGAGAGAATTGCGGAAGCCACCACCAAACTTCTAGCGCACTGTTCTGCTTTTTAATTGAGTTGTCACTGTCTCACGTTCATGGTTTCCTATCGGTGGTTTTCGATGAGATTTAGTGAGATCAATGTTGAACGAGGATGGGAGGCTAGAAAACGCTGTGAAAATGTTGGAAAAAAGAATCGACTCTGATTTGGATGTTAAAGGCCAAAGTCAAAAATGGTGAACGAATTTATGCTTCTGGAAAGTAGACTCAGCAGAGGATTTTTGCATTTCGTTTAAGCCACTACATCGTTAAGCTGTAGAAATTAGAAATGAGGTCCAAACAATGTGTTCCTAGTGCTATTTAACTGAATCATATTTGAACATTGTCATATCCAATTGGGAGTGGCTATCTCAAAGGCATTTTCTACATTCATACGGACTCAAGTCTAAAACTTCATTCTTAAACAGCCATAATCACTTTCACTAGGATCAATACCTGTTTGTAGTAACTTGTAATTTTAACATTGATGTAACTTGAATAACTGGTTTTTTTTCCACATCAGGAAAGCATAACTTCCGCCATTTTGAATCCTTGTCAATATATGCGGCAGGAAAATTGAGAAACGCATCTTTAGACGATCTTTTGACACCATAAACTCTGAAGTGCTCATGACTTGCATAAGAATATAGTGTATGCTATATAGCTTGAGATTCTCCTAACCTTTCTGCAATTCCCTTGTTTTCTCTGGCTCTTGTAGACTCATTCACTCAGTATTACTATGCTATTTAATGACACAAACTGTTTCTTACCTTCTCATAATTGTTGCATTTTGAGCTTCTACTTTACTGGCTTCTGAACTGCCCCCTTTTTCTTTTTTGTTGACCATGGTTTCAGAACTCTTCCTAGGTATTTGGAATGAATTCAAATTAGCTGCTACATTGTTGAGAGGGTGACACTTTGTCTATTTGTCTGACCATTTGTAAGTATCTTATTTTCTTGCCTTTAGCTTTAGGACGTCCTCTGATCTTTGTAGAATTGTCATTAGCCCCACCCAAAGAATCCATTTTGTTTGAACAACGACAAGCCTTTTCTTCAGAATTTCAAATTGACAATACATTTATGTGATTTAGTCTGGTGAAAAAAATTCTTCATCTAATTTTCTTTTTCAATATTCCAAAGCAGAGCCATGTACCTTGCTATTTAGCACTGTAGTCAGGCAATGTTGAACAAAGTCGAGTCCAGAAAAAAATATTCTAAAGCAACTGAAAATCATATATTCTGCTGTGCACGTAATAGAATGAGAAACCCATCAATGAGTTCTGCGTTAGGAATTTAGTGGCGTGCTTGAACTACCAGTGCTAAAAATTACCATGAATCCACTCTTTTTCAAGCTTGATTATCCGATAAGTATATCTGGTTCAACTCAGTCAAAGTAAAGTCATTAAATAAGACCATAAATGATGTCTATTTCATATTTTTCTTCAACGTATCATCATTGATTGTCGCTCTAAATAGTCAAATGTGGTGATAAAGGCCTTTTGTTAGTGCTATTAACACTCAAGTGGTTTTGTGCAGGTCCCAGAAAGTTTGTGCGCAAACATTTCAAGTTGGGTTGGTTCTAAAACAAGCCAGAATTGCTTGGTGTATCCTTTTGACATTCACAACAAACTGCACAACAAGTACATGAAGAATTTTTTTTCTTTTAAAAATGGAGAGTTGGTATTCTGGTGGGAACTAAAAAGGTTATGGACTTATCAGCTTTTTAAATCGTAAAGAATGGGAGAAGCAGTAAAAATTATTTTGAAAGACATAAAATCACATGGCTTCCACACCTTCAGCGCTGATGACCCATCACCATCTTCAACCTTCAAAATAGGCACTAAAGGCTTAGTGGCCTACCTATGTGGATCACATTCTGCACCCTCATATATTTCTGAGACTATATTCACATTCTTCTCCTATAATTGCACCATGCTTCCTACCATATTATAGTTATAAATGAATAGACACCATTCTCCTATAGTGCAAATCTTTTCACATGTGTGAGCACAGGTTTTCAATAAAACCGTATCAACCCTCACTTGGTAAACAGGACAAGTTCCCTTTAAACGTAGCAATATTTAAAGAAAGAAAAGGAACAAAAGGAAGGTGAAGATATAAAAATCTACTCACCTATCAGTCAGAGGTTCATTGCACATCTTTGAATTGTTCAGTATTCAGATTTTGTATACTCTCTCTTATGGGAAATATTGGAAAAGTAAGGTGAGGGGCTTTTTTTTTTTCCTTGTATTTTATATAATACAACATGAGTTATTACCATCTTTTAATTCTTGATCTGTGGAAAACCCAACTAGAAGAGGATTATATTTATGAGTTGATGTGTTGCTTTCTTTGGTTTATGCTGATATGGGTTGATGGTTTCATTAAAGTAAATGAATACTGTAAGGGATCCATTTATTCATTGTTTTGGGGAAAAACAAGAACAATCAAAGCAATTGTGACTGCCATTCTCAAGGGTCCAGTGCCCATTGTCATAAATATGAGCCCCACTTTCTGATTTCTAATTTTAAGTGTTACTATTTTCTTTCACATATCTGTGATTCATTGTTTTTGAAACTGCAGAGATGCTGATTCCTTTTAAAAGCACGCCCAGCTGTGTCAGCCTTTTAAGAACATGATTTTTATATAGCTAATGCCATAAAATCACACTGCCTTTATGAAATGAACAGATCTATCACTCCTGGGAATTCAATCACATTCAAAATTAATCTCTTGGATTGATGTGGGTTTTCACCGTGGACCAATGTCCATGCTCAGGACAGAAAAAGCTTTTATTTTCTCTCTTAGGTTTGGAGAGAGAGTGAGTGGGAGTTTGTGAAAAGAAGAGAGAAATAAAAGAATAGCCAGCTAGCCAAGGAGACGAACTGTGATATCAATGGAGGACGAAGAGGGCCCATACTTTTATGCTTCACAATTTCACAAAAACTATATGGCTTGGTGGCCAACTCACACCCCAAGAGTAACTTTAATAGATTTCTAGATAGGAATATATCTTTCTAAACCCCATTTTGTCCATTTAATTATACATCAAAACGTTCTCTGGTAACATGCTTCCCTCTTTGGCTTGTAACTTGTGGATCATTCTTATCCTCTGAATATGGTAGTTGTTATTTTTATTTTATTAATTTTCCCCCTTTTCTTTTACTGAAGAAGCGTGCCAATGATAATAAATTTGT